CGCACATACCTTCGGTATAGTATGGAGAATTTATTTTTAGCTCTTTTTCCTATCGATGCATTCATGCTATGTTCAGCAGTTTTTTCCAATATTTTACGTTTTGGCGGACGTTTACCAACGTTCGAAGAGTGCAGAGTTGCATTTAGAAATTCGAAAGAAAGTACTTATCTTCCCATTTGGTACCATTGCCTTTATAGTTTTTAATAAAGCGCACAGAAAATCTGGAGTGAAAAACTAGAAAGTCTCAGAGCACGCGTAATTTATCATCCGAGGCGTAGCCGAGGTGCAAATACAAATTTTTGTGAGTCCCCCAGCCTAAAGTAACTTTTTGGTTTTGCGCAGCGGGAGGAAAATATTACTTTAGGTTGGGGTAGCACAAAAAAGCAACATTTTTATTTCGCTCAGCGGGAGTAAAATGTTACTTTAGGTTGGGGTAGCACAAAAAAAAATTTTTTTGGCCATTCGACTTGACAGAGAATCGGCCATATATATTAGACCGGTTGACTTTCCCAAATTGTTTCGATCTTCGCTCCAGACGTTGATTCTGGTTCTTAAGATGCAAAAACTGAGAAAACTGCGTATATTAAATCAAAAGACTTTTTTTCCTTAATGTTTTTTTTGTTTAAAAGCTTCTATTTCGAGATAAAAAATCGAAAAGTTTAAAAATATGGTTTTCTCTAATTTTTTAGGTCTTTTGACAGCTAAAGAATTATCTCTTATTTTCAACCAATGACGAAAATTTATCAGAAGTTGTGTTTTGATGTATCGATAAATATATAACCATATTGGCCTAATCGCTGGAAAGTAACACATTTATTTTTTGACTTTTATGCTATTTTCACTTTTTAATGAGGCAAAAGTTTATACATATTATTTTTGATAAAAAATTTTATATAAAAAATCATGTTATAACAATGGTTTCATGATCCCCCCATGAGGGATGGGCCTAGAGGGCTGAATTTTCAGGATTTTTATTTTTCAATGTACTCTTCAAGAGTATATATTTTGTTTTAATTTCATTTTCTGAACTATCAACTCTTTTATGATATAACTCATATCTATAACGGTTAAGGTGATGCCGAAGCACTGATTTTGATCGACCGACCATTAAAAAATGTGTATTTGCATAACTTTTTTTCTAAATCGAATTTTTAAAATCGGCTCTGTGGTGTGTCGGTATTGATGCTGAGAACAACTGTGCCAAATTTCATCCCATTTCATTCAATAGTTTTTCCTGAAAACGGGATCGAAATTTTTGATTCAGGTTTTCAGGGTTTAAAAATTTCGATCCCGTTTTCCGGAAAAACTATTGAATGAAATGGAATGAAATTTGGTACAGTTGTTCACAGCATTAATACGGAGGGCTTCATAGAGCTGTTTTTCTAAAATCGATCTAGTAAAACAGTTATTTAAATTTACATTTTCAGAGTTCGGTCGGTAAAAAACTGCTCACCTTCTTGCCCCGCTCCTCTCTCTGCTCCCGCTTCTGCCTCACCTTAAAAACGTTTATTGTTACGTTATGACAACTCAAAAATGATCACTGAAAATATTATTAAAGCCACATTTATTTGAATCATTCATCGCCAAATTTTAAATAAAGTATGCAATTTGCACATTATAAATGTTTGGAATGTCTACAGTAGATTTAATTCACTGCCTTTATATATTTAGCTTTGAACGATATTTAAGTTAATAAATTTTACAACCAATCGCTAGTGAAAATAATAACAAAGTTTATCAAAAATAGTTATTAAAAGAATAAAGCTGCTTCAATGGCTTACTCGGAATAAATTTAACTCTGACCGAAATCACATCTCATTATGTCATTTATTAGCTTCTATTGAATTATAAAAGCTTCTATCACTGCAGTTATAACAGTTCTAGCGATGTTAGTTGATAAAGATGTTAGTAATTAATACAGTTATCTAAATTGATTTAAAAAGTACTTTACGGCAGGTTAATTGATTCAACGGATTTAGCAAAAATTATTTTGAAATGAACACGATATTTCAAGTTAAAATTGGCTTTGAGAACAAGTACGCTTACAGATACTTAAGGGCTTATATACACCTTAAACTTAACATTTTTTTACTGAGATTTTGAGTAGGATTTTTCCTCCTCTTTCCATTGCATTATTCAAATCTCTAAAATGTTAATTCTGTACTGAGTTACAGATATTTCCGTGAGCCTTTTTCCTATACTACACGTGATACATTTTTTCTTCTTTTGTGTTTTCTGGAAAGTCGTGATTTTAGTCACCTGTAGTAATATTCCGAGGGTACCGATTGAGCTTTCTGCACCAGGGTCACGTACACTTCTCCAGAACATGAATGGTTACAGCCACTACCACGGGTGAGACGATCGAAATTTAAGTCATAAAATTACTGTTTGAGAGTGACCTATGAGTTCGATCGTCTCACCCGTGGTAGTGGCCGTAACCATTCATGTTTTGAAGGAGTGTACGCGATCCTGGTACTAAAACTCAATCGGTACCTTCGGAATATTACGACAGGTGACCAAAAACACGACTTTCCAGAAAACGCAAAAGAAGAAAAAATGTAACACCTATAGTATAGGAAAAAGGCTCACGGAAATATCTGTAACTCAGTACAGAATCAATATTTCAGAGATTTGAATAATGCAATGGAAAGAGGAGGAAAAATCCTACTCAAATTTTCAATAAAAAAAAATGTTAAGTTTAAGGTGTATATAAACCCTTAAAATCGAGGTAAATGATTTATAATTTTTGAATAGGATTTTTCTTCCCCTTTCTATTGCATTTTTTAAAAATTTCATATTTTTTATTTCTCCCTGAGATGCTCTGTAGCGCTATTGAGTGTTTTGGAAAAATATTCTGTTGCAGTTTCAAAAAACTAGATTGAAAATTATATTTTTTTAATAGACTTTGCCATCCTGTGAAAGAAATTTAGTTGAATTTTATTCGAACAATTTTTATAATATATATGGCTTACTTTGATTCATAATGTAATGTCAGTAGCTTTTCAGTAAATTTAAAGTTTTTGATGTAAGAAGATATTGTAACTAATTAATACATTTTCTCCGAACATGTGCCCAGATGTTTGATGATTTCATGGCTAGCAAGCGTATAAATCAACAATAATGTAATGAAACGTATATTGTCTTATAGAATGATTCATAAGAAATGAGGCATGAAGCTTTTAAACGTTCATTATTTTCAGAAATTGCAATTGCTTTTTGCATCTTGACTGAATATATAGATTATTATGATAACAATTTTAATACAGTAGTTTCTTGATACATAATTAATTTGCTAACCAGCTAATACTTTCAAAAACACTCAGTAATCGTGAACATAAATGGTATGTCGTACTTTATTTATCCTTATCAATTTTTTACGTGTTCAGATTTTACAAAATATTTTAATTTTATTTCTGCAAAGACTGATCTTATATGAGATTTAACCGATGAGTTAATGTAATTGATTTCATTTTCAAATTCAGATAGCGATAGAAAGCGCTGCAAAATATTGTATTGTTGAAGTTACTCATCGAAAATTCAATTAAAACGAAGAAAAATCGACGAATCTTAAAAATGACTTTTTATTTTCAAACATGCTTAGGCTTGAAACTTTTCTTCATTTTTATGCAAAGTAAATATAATTCTATGATACAGTACGTAAATATTTTTGAAGCCATATGACGGGCACGCTGTTAAAACTGCGGAATATTAAGAGCACATAATAGTAAACTGTTTCGAAAAAGTTGAAACCTCTTTTAAAATATGAAATACAACTCAACTTTCAAGTAATTTAATGTGTCATCAAAAAATATAATTCAACTGTTGCTTGTTTGTCAAATCTACTGCTAAATCGTGATATCGAGTAAACTGTAATATACAATGGTTTATTCATTTGATAATTTTTTACTACAAAAACGTGTCAGTAAAGACGTTATGTTGGAAAATAGCTAAGAATTATTATTATTATTATTACTATTATTATTACTATTATTGCTGTTGTTATGGTTTTTGTTGATGTTATTGTTGTTGTTGCTGTAGTTTTTGTTATATTAATTAACGGATAACGCATAATTCACGCAAGATTATATAATTTTGAGAAAATTAGGTTTTAATGGTTTTAATTTTACGGTTAAAATGAAAAAGCAAAAATAAAGCACGGAGCTTTGTAAAGAACTTTGTAGCTTTTAGTTGTAAAGAACAAAACTTTTTACGAAAATGTCAAGTGTGAGTGCACTTGAAATGCAACAATGCTTAGAAAATTAAAGATATACCGATGAATTAATGAATGCCATTTTATTGAAGTAATGATGAAAAAGTTAAGTTAAAAGGTTTATTATTCGCTGAATAATATCTGTCTACATTTATTAGAGATCCAAATGTAATATTTCGTAATTGCTATATAGGTTGCGATGATTACTTGATTATTGGGAACTTTTTAATTTCGTGAATATTTTTAAATTCAATATATAGGTTATGTCAAAGTATTTATTTCACATTAAATAGTATAATCCGATGTAATATCTAATTTTTCTTTCATTGAATTACTTTCTTACTTAATTGTCTCAAATTGATCTGACAATTTCTTTACTCTTGTTTTCTTTTAGAGAGAAAACTCTTATTCTGTGGTTAATTAAAGAATAATGCAATAATACGAAAAATGTATCAATATTAAAAATAATAATTCTTAGGCTTATCATTTCAATCAAAACTTTGCTTTGAATTTATCCGTAATATAAAAATCAAATTTAATAAAATTAATTAAATTACTGAAAACAAGTTTACAGAAGATAATAATCTATTTTGTGCTTTAGCAGACCATGGACTAGCTAGAAATTAAATAAATCTCCAGTTTAAAAATATATGTACAAATAAAGTTTTAGCTTTTCATGTCTTTGAAATATACGAGAAATTGTTAAAACTGATTGTAAAGATACGGAAATGAAGAAATGTCTGTTTCAAAACTGCTTTACTGCCGAAATGATTAATAGAGATCAACTTACGCGCTAGGGCAAGCATTAACAGTGCTGTAATGGTGATGGGTGCGTGCGCCATTGTATCGGACAAAATTTAACGTCTGATCGTCCGATTGTCTGATCTGCTCTGCCGAGATAACTGCACTAGAATATGCGACCTTACGGCGTGGGGAAGTTGCGCACTCTCGTATGAGGGAACACACTGAAGTATATGTATATATATATACACAATATCTCAGCGAAAAACGACACAGCAGTGGCTGCGGTCTATAACATATATGCAGCGCACTGTCTCTCGAAACTAGCGCGAACGAGTAAATACGTGCCTATGCGACTGTCGAGTCCGGAGGGCAGGGAGCGACTGACGCTTGACAGACTGAGGCTGCGCTGCGTGCTCTACACGCCGGCCGGTACCGGCGAAAATCTCAAGCTTCTGCAACTTCTTGTGCATTTTATCAATTCGCGTACTCCATACGCGACCTCGAGGCTATACTCTTCAATTCAGAGCTATTTCATTTGCCAAAGTGACCCTTAGCCATACTATTCTGTCGTTTTTTCAATAGCAATGCCTGTTTCAGTACGATTAATGTTTAATTTGATACTACATCTCAAGTGATTCAACACTTGAATATACTAATGTTACATAAAAATATATGCTATGCTAAATATAAAACTAAAATGAATCGCTCATGTTCTATTGTATGAGATGTTATATCAACTGTATTCCGATTCATCTGTCAAAAAAAATTCTTTTGTCCTTAAATTAATCTTATCATTATGAATTCACATAGCATAAGTGCAAAATTAATTTTTGTTATTGTATAATACTGTATTACTATAATACTTGTATTGTTGATGTATAATACTTGTATCAAACTAAAGGCAGAGATTTTTCATCATAATGTACGAAATGAATGAAATTTCTATAACACAAAATTAGGGCGTAGAAGATAACTTAAGTATTACAACCGCAGGTATAACTCACAGGTATAGAGGCAAAAGCAGAGAAACTACTGTTCACACAGCAAACAGGCATATAAGAACAAAGTAAGAGGATGGAAGCAGACGATTTTTATGGAAAATAAAAACGTGAGTGTGACAAAAATTGTTTAAATTATTTTTGTATTTTTTTTTTTTTTGATAGACACTTATATTTACAGCTTTGTTCAAATTGGTGTTATTTTACATACATGTATGCAGCAATATCGATTTTTCTGACCTGTATGAAAGCAAGGCAGAGTGTACATACTTGGGTTTGTATAACTATAAATGTTATTCGTTCTAGTTATATTAAATTGTATATGATATAATGTATGCAAAAAAAAAAATAAATATATTTTTCCATTTATGTTTGTTATTAATATCAATTATATATGCATATTTAATGTAAATATATATTTGTATTTATTAAAAAAAATTCGGTCGGAAATACTTCAATGCAATTCTTACAATTCTTCTTATCTAGTTTACAAATTTATTTCATTCTTAAATAATTTCATTTAAAATCGAAATGTGAATCTATTACTGACATAGTTTATTGAAATTTGTATATTATTTTTCTAGGACCAAAAAATCAGGAAACTTGGTTTCAACTCGACTGCTAAATACATGCACACTGAGACATTTTTTCTGCTAAGACCTGTAATATAAGGTCAATTTGGGTATTTTCCTTTAATTTTGAATTAAGTTTTTACATGAGATTCAAACTTAATACCAGTATTTAAATAATATAAATATGTTAAACATGTTCAGTTCAATATGACCAATGAAAAAAAATTTCTTGTGTTAAATATTATTGAGCGAAAATATCCACATTGACCATATAATATTTTTCAAAATTATTATAAACTTCAATATAATAAATGTCGAAAGATGATTGAGAGTATTACTACTAAATTAACAGTGAGAAAAAAACAGCACTAAAAGTATCAAACAATCTATTTTTCGGATAATTTTATAAGTTTAAGAATCATTGGTCATAAGAATTATTTCGAACTCTGCTTGATTTAAAAAAGAAGTATCTCAGTTTTAAGTTTGCGTAGATGAATTAAATAAATGTAAATTATCTCATCAAGCATTCTTAACTAGAGAAAAAAGCGCAAATTTAACCAGAAAAAATGATGTCGAAGAGGCTTTGGAAAAAGTAGAAAATGAAGAAAAAGCAGAGTAAGTTTTTTTCCATTTCAACTCTGTATGCTCATGTATGTAAGCTCTCGGTATCTTGCGTTGCGGTCAGGGTCGAGGCTTCTTTCACACGTACACACGTGCGCGCGTACCAAATAGATTTTTTTGCAGCAGCCGATGTCCATGCTCCGAGACGACACTGAAGCCTAAGCGCGAGTTTTCACTAGACAATAGCTGATGCTGCTTCCAGAGCAATGTATATAGTCATACATAATATGAGGGAGAAAGATCGATTCAAGGTTATTTTGTGTAGTACCACCTCGTTGACTTCAAAGTGACGTATTTGTCACGCGTCCGAGCCTAGATGCATACTACTGTATATTCAAGTATATTATGTAACACGTACATTTCAGGAAAACTTCATTGAAATTAAAATGTAAGTAAAGTGTAAAATGTTAGATTGCCGCTCTGCAAAAAAATTGGAGAAGAGCACGTCCATTCTTTTAATAAAGCAAAAGCATAAAGGAATTTCAGAGATAATTTTATTTTGATGTATCGGCCTTAGATTCAATTTTTAATTTTTGCAAATAATCATGCATTTAATCAGACATAAAAATTTTAAACATTCATGATACTTATTTATCATCACGGAGCGAACTTTAAGGGCTATTTCCAGTTATAGAAAAATTACTTCATTTAAAAAATAATAATATATAACTTTGGTCTACCATTTTTCGCCCTTTTCATGTGCTAACGTGTGATTTCTCAGATATTTAGAAGTCAATTATTTTCAATCAATACACTTGTACATAAAAGCAGAAAGTATCATTTTTTTCCCACTCTAAACTAAAATACGCATCTTTGCCGCTAATTTTAGGCTCTCGCAGGAAAAAATAGTATCATCAACTGGTGCAGATATAGTTGATATTTCCAATTGAGTATTTTCGCGGAAAAGTTGCGTATTTTAGGTTAGAGTGGAAAAAATTTCATTCAAAAAAAGGAAAATTCCGTCATTGACACCTGATTTCATATAAACATATCTCGAGATATTTTGCTGACTTTGATACAAAACAAAACTATTGATATTGGCAAATCAAAAAGCTTCATAGTAACATCATCTGAACCTAAGAGGAAAATATTTTTGAAAAATTACTCGTTTAATCTACCAGTCTCAAAACGTACCTGTGAGCTTTTAAAACAGCTACTTTTAGCCTTTTTTGTATTTGAAAAAAGTGTCTAGCCTATTTTTGGAATTATGTTTTTATTAAGGAATTCAAGATACACAAAAATAGAAAAAAAATTTATTGAATTTTTGAAAAGTATTTTTCCCTTTTTTCATAGCATTCTTTTAAATTTCAAAATGTTTATTTTTTACAGGAATACAACCATTTTCGTACTATATATAATAATATTCTATTTAAAACCGCTTTGTGTGTTAAATGTTGCTTGTTGCTGAAGGAAGCCAATAGGCTCCAAAAGGAGTTTTTGAACCAGACGTGGTGAGGAAAGCTCTTTGCCAATGAATAGGCAGCGTTTTTTTTTATTTTACCTATGGGTACCTATGGGTTCGATCGGTTGAAATCAATGAATCTCAACTTATTTCTACCCAAATCGCAAATGTCTTGTAAACACTGCAAATAGCTTATCGATAATGAAATTAAATGGTTGAAAAATCGTTATAAAATAACCATGTTTTGAACGAGCGTCGTGTACTGTTACTAGGTATGTGATGCTTGGAAAAATATTATAGTAGATTGTTCATCATCTGTCAACGTCACATGCAGTGGATAATGAACATCCGGCATGTAAGCACGTAAAGCTGAGGGGTAAGGTGAATCAGTTTCTGCGTAAAAACAAACGCATATCTTTACGTGCATGTCTACATGCAACTTTGTAAATACTCGCAATCCTTATTTCCTTGAAATATTGACGCTCGCTTTCCGAGATCACGTATCTTTAAGTTTTTTAAGATATTCAACAACGATGCTTACTAACATTTGCACGCTTATGCTCGATCGAAAAGCTTCATGTGTGATTGTGCATCGAGTCGTCGATAAAATACGTCACGGAAAAAACGTATAACTACCCAAGCGAAACAATTCGTTTCGTCATTGGCGTATAAACATTGGTTAAATTTTTAATACAGTGACAAAAAAGTGAAGGTAAATAAAAAATAAGTTTCTTGTGTACAGACAATAATTCACCTGTTGGCGTGCATTAAATACTTGTAAACACATGTCAATGCTGGTAAAAAATATTTAGCAACGGAAATAAAAAAATAAAATATTTACAGTACATCGTAGCGTGTGCAATGACCGCTAAGGTGCGGTCTCTTGGTCTGCGCTTATCACGACGCAATAGCATCGAGAAATGAATATTATAATGCTAAAATAAATGATTACAAAGATCAAGAATAACGTTCAATATAAAGGTATTGTGAAAGTATAGATACTTGGCTCAAACTTACATTTTTATCGATTTATTGTTTAAAAAATTGCTCTATTAGAATATGCCTAATATATCTTTAGATAAGCTAGGTAGTGTACGATTATGAATACTTCATAATAATAGGCTCATTAATTAAGGCACAATATCTATATAGTAGACTATCTCATGTTTAATTTCATAGACTATGCGCTGTCTTAACTTTTTGAGTTATTAACTAGAATGTAGGTTGAGCTGTACATCGTTTAATCTAGTTCGTGACAACCTGATTGTTGTTGCAAGATACCAGCATTTAGAATAGCGAACCTACTGTATCGTTAGGGCGGATTTGCCCGTACTATTCCAGGTTAGTCACATAATCGAAAACTTTAAATTTATTTATTGCCCAAAACTTCGGTAAAAATATAAAATTATTAAAAATCACGTTTTTACCAACGCTAATAGTTTTAGTGAACGTATATTCAAGTATTATAGTACCTCTATTTAAATTAAACAATTTGAGTAAAGTTAACGTTAAATCAGTGCATGTGAATCGTATATGATTGTCGTATGATTCATGTCCATGTTCTATTTCGAAGTAAGACTTGAGGCATGACCATCGATTGATTTGACACAATACCTTCGAGTCTATCGGCTGTCACTATAAAATTACTTAATGACATTGGCGGCTTTAAGATGTTAGGGATTATTTAATCATTCGAATTTTTATAAACAATTTTCGGAGAATTTTTTTTTTTGAAAGCTGACATTTTCACAATTTTCAATTTTGATCTAAAATCCTCTGTGGCTCGATAGAGAATGTCTTAAACTTAAGTTATTATAATTATTAACTAATAACTATAAATAATAAGAATATTACAGTTATTAACTAAAGATATTAATCAAAGGATATTCGTTTTTTCTTCTAGGTGCTCTAGGAGTCGAGAAAAGTTACCAGCAGTGAAAAAAGTATCTAACTAGACAGAATTATTTCAAATGGGGTACGAAAAAAGCTGGTTAATACAGCACAGGAGGGTTTAACCTTGAGAGCTGCAGAGCTGAATCCTATGCAGATCTTTCATCCGATCACTGTTGTAATATATATGTTGTATATACAGTGGAAATATGAAATGATTCATTCCAAATTTAACAATTATTTCGAATTATGCAACCAAAAAATTCAAATTTTTGAAAAATAGAGAATTGAGTCTTAGAAATAAGTATTGGTCCAGTTATTCAGTTGATTTATACTCCGTCACGATGACGAAACATGTATCCTTCAGTTTAGAATAAAAGCAGAAATCATAGCTGAAGTTAAAAAAGTTGATGTTGATGTTTGCGGAGAAGTCTCGGACACAGACATTTAACGAGAAGTAATAGCTGTACCCGAGATTGAATCCAGTATTGCTTCCAAATATGAAGTTAAAACTGAACCACTATGTATTCATTTCCAAGCTCCTGAATATATGTTTCAAAATTTATAAAGTATTTTGAGTCTCAATTAAAAAGACAGATTATTTTATCAAATTTTAATATTGCAGACGATTTTTTATACAAAAAAAAATATGTTCTGTTAAATACTTTACTATGATGATTATTTTAAAAAATAAATAAAAAATATTTTCCGTTCTAAAAGCTTTTTTATTCAAGTGTATAATGTACGAGTGTCTCGCAATGAGTGAACATTTGAATTGTAGGGTGGGAGGACATTTTTTATAAAATTGTGTTTATAAAGTTATTTTTTTATGAAGTTATTTTTTTATTATATACATTTTTATAAAATACTTTTTTTATAAAAAAATATATAATGAAAATCATTGGTTAAAAAATGAAGAAATGGTGGCGTTTTTTCGAAAATTGTTTATATCTCCAAAAATATTATGCCGATTTTTTCCATTCTAGTTCATTCTGAGCAGTAACACGGGCAGATTGTTGTTTTAAAATTTCATGGTGATAAAATTAATGAATTTTTCTTAATCGTTCCCGCCGCGGTTTTTTTCGAGTTCTTTAAAGCAATTGCAGCAGACGACACTGGGTGGCAAAAAATTATAGAAAAATTTTTTTATATTGTATAAGGTCACTAAAGTATGTATAAAAAGTTTCATTAAGATATGTCGTTTTATTCTATTACAAATAAATCTTTGAAAAAAATTTTTTTTTTAATTTGGAGGAGGGGAGGTCCCCTTAAAACAACATAAATATGTTGTATATATTAATGTATGTGTGTGCGTTTGGTACCTATTCAGGTGTTGAAAAAGCAAAGTGTGACTTGAGAAACATTATTGCTATTGTCTTGGAATAAAAAGACGGCTTGTTTAAATTAGGTACCAAATATGGAATTATGAACAAGATGTATACAAGGTACATTCTACATTCTACATTCTATATTTTCCCTATTTTTTGTACAATCTTCTTTTTTTTTAAGATCGGAATTAGATATAAGCCAGCAACAATTTTTGAATCAAAGTGACGTGCTGACTTCGGAAATGTTGTGCGTTAGAACAATAGCAACGAAATAATCAACTTCTGGGGGTCAAGGCTTCTTCAAATGTACTTGTAAAAAAAACTGTTCTACCAGAATTTGCATTTGTAAAAAAAATAATGTGCTTTGTAACTCAAAATGCCACAATAGCACAACTTGTCTAAATAAGTAATGAATTATCAATGATATGATATTTGACAAATGCCTCAAGGCTGGTACTATTAATTTTAAATTAGTTTTATGCTAATAAAAAGATAATTGATAATAAATTCACGACTTATTATTCATTCATTGTTTACAATATATCAGTTCAAGAAGATTCCTACAATCGCACAGAAGCATTAGTATTTATGTCGGTAATATCACGACCGACCGACGTCTCCGAGGGGGCTACATAAAAATGCCTAAAATCGGTTAGGCATTATTTGTTTTGCCTAAAAATTTTCAGTCATTTCTGGTATTGCCTAAATTGTTTAGGAATTTCCTATAATTTTAAAGGCATTTCTGTTATGTCCTAAAATCATAGGCATTTCTGTTTTTGCCCAGGCAAAAGCCACTTTTGCCTAAAAGCGGGTTTTGCCTGTAACAAATATCGACGCTGTTGAAGAAGAGTAGCAAATTTCTATACATTTTTAAATGTAAACGTGCTAGTTTTCCTTAACAGCTTCGATATATATGTTACGTATATGTTCGCATACATCTTTACGCATAATTTTCTGGATACGATACCTTTTCGAACAGCAGTTCCATTCTTAAAAAATTATTAAAAAATTAAAAATTCTTAAAAAATTAGTTCAAGAGTTTATTCATTATGGTAAGATTTCACTTTTTTTCACTCCGCAAAAAGGGTAATTCTTCAAACAGGATACATAATATAAAAATGGGATTACATTTGAAAAGATTTGTTTCCTTAAAAAATGCACATGATTTTATTGAATGTTGAGCCGATTTCAAAGAAAAATCGCCAAAATATTTATATAATATTAATTTTTTCGTACGTAGAAGAATAACGATTTCATTAACTATATAATTTATTTACCTACATTTTGTGCTTTCATATTCGATTTGGTAGTTTAATATAATCATATAAATTAATTCTTAAATGTGATAACATTAACAAAAAATAAAAAATATTACACTTAATTGTTATAAGATTATGATAGTTAAAAATAATGAACGGCATGGCACTTGATTGTTTCATTATAACTAAACAATTGTTTGTAATCTATTAATGCAGTAATACAATTGACTTGACGATTCTTTTTCAATAAAGGCACGTTATGCATTTAGCTAACTATTTTATCCTTAAAATTCTTTATTTTATGACGATTTTATTTGGTTGGAAGATTATTCAAAAATTAGCAAATTGATCATCTGTGAAATTTTTTTGACTTTCTAATTTGCGTTATTTATTTAAATATCACCGTTGTAAAATATATTCACTAATAACATGTTGAACTATCTCTTCCTAACTAAAATAAGAATTTTTTATCTTTTATGTATAGTTAATTTACAAATTAAGCCAGTTGCTACTGTTTTTCAAAAAAGTAATATTTTGTCAACTTGAATATTCTATGTATCACCAATTTTTACGTAACAATTTAACAGCTTATTGAAAAGAACATATATATATTTGACTGGATAATATTTCCAGAAGTATTTCGATCTTTGTTGTTTTAGATTCTTAAGGTTTGAAAATTAATAAAAATACAAAATTGTGGTTAAAATTAATCGTTAATACGTGACGTACTTTTAAGAACACTACTAATTTGTCCTCGAAAAAAATCTGTGAAAATTCTTTGACTAATTCAAAAACTTTTTACCTTTGTGTTTTTTTGAGCAAAGATGGAACACTTTAGGAAATAAAAATCCAAAGTTTATTATAGATATATAACATTCTAATGTAAATTTGACGCCGATAAATCATGTTTCTGGGTATTTCATAATACACGTTTGCGGCAAGCATCGAATAATTCTTGCCGCTTCTCTCACATGCCTTTTTAGTTTAAAATGCCCCATAATGGGACTTTGTGTCACTTGAGGTCATGGGTATTGTTTTAGAGTAAATCAGTTGCGATACAATGAATACTTGACGCAATGTCGATGCCCCCAAGCATTACACAGATTCATTTTCATTCAATTCCTAAAATTCTTTATGCAATTATAATTAGTGAAAAAGAAAAAACTGTATGCAACGCAACAAAGAAGTTTCAAGTTGATGATTGTAATATAAAAATGTTAAATAAATTATTAACGTTTATAATTGTACGTGGTCCCTATTTAACTTTATATGAATCTAATAATATTTTATGTGATGAGACATTACGTCGAATTTTCAATACCCAAAACATATTCCCGATGTATCAATTTTAAATATTCTTATAAAGATAATGATAAGTTTCACTAAAAATTATAAACTTTACCTACACACTATTGCATGAACATAGTTATGCAATACTCATCAGTTTCAAAGAAAAATATAGCAACTTACACAATGTCACTTAATCTCGTCGTATATTATTTTCACATAAATGCTTCTTTTTATGTACACTTTAGAAAATTTCTTCCTTTATACACAATTTTAAGTTGGATTAAAACTTATTAAGCATATCAATATTCAACTTCTCGCAGGTTTGGATACAATCTACAATCGTTCCTTATTTGTCCATCTTCATCGGCATCAGATTTATTCATGTACATCATTTCCGTTTTTTGTAGTTGTTTCTGTAAACATAAAAGCTTATGTCAACAAAAAATAAATATGTAATTTATTATTATACTTTAACAAAATACGTACAAGGGGTACACGGCGTCGATTATACACGAAACATGATACAGATACTCCACATAAGATGAGAGATCCTAAAAACATCATAATCAAACCTGCATACATACACAAAGTTGGCAGTTCCAGCAGCAGTTTCATACCACCAACCATATCATCGGGAATTCCAGCTTCTACACTGAACCAGAACATAGGAAAGTACAAAGTTGGTACTTTTTTGAATAAACTGAAATTAAAAATTTGTAATGTAGTCAATGAAATTTTTCATAAAGTAATTATCGATCAAAGTTTATTTATTAAGTTCTTACTCGACAATTTTAGATGGTTGTAGTAAAATATTGACCTGTAGCCTAGCCTTCACATCTATTGGAATACCTGTGGTCTAAAAAGAATAATTATATGAAATTTGGTTAAAAATTCCAAAATCAACGATTATATTTTTCTGAGTCAATTAAAAAATTACGTGTCTTGAAGTTAAAAAGTTAAATTGTTTTTAATAAACAATAACTTTCTTAATTATGGAGATCATTTGAAAAAAAATACATATTTTTTCTTCTCATGTTATACAGAACTCAAGTGGCGATCATGAAAATATTTCGTAAAATTATTAGATCGTTGATAAAGAAGATATTCTTATGAATTTCAAATGAAGCTCAAAAGCTTCGAAAATAAAGTTCAAATTTTTATAACATTGTTGGAATATAATATAATACTAATTAAATGAATATCTCATGGAATGAATAGATGAATAAATGAGAAAAAAGTAATTTACCGGTTCCAAGGTGAGATAAAAACTGTGATCTTTATCATTTGGAGCTAGACCAACAAAAGAATCTCTCAACACAGGGTCGCCTTTGTGAAAGTGAGGTAAACTAATGAAACCTGGTGCACCGTATCGACAAGCCGTAATATTTATTACGCCTTTAGGGGAACAGTCCCCATTACAGAAGCATTGACCTATATTCTGAACATCGGGATCCTCATCTTCATTTATCGATCTCTTTGTCGTTGGATCGGAAACGAAGAAATCTTCTGTTGTCGTAGTTGGATCAATATATTTAGCTACCTCATGCGGGTAACGTCGTCTAGTGTCATTGCTCAAAGTTTTATCACCCATGGAAAATTTATAGCCGTGAATTCCTTTATGATCTACTTCATCTTCGAATTCGTAGGTCACTGGTCTAAAAGTAAATTAAATGGTTAATTACTAGCGATATTTTTTTCTATTTATTAACATTGTAGCTTTAAAACTACCTGCATATATCCGGAGTAAATAGTCGAATATCTTCTTTTTTCCGATACGGGGGCCAAAATTCTCCACCACTTCCTTCGATCACATTACAAGGACTTTTATAAAATGCCGTTTTATCTTGGAAGTTCCAGTTCTTAATAGCTCCCAAACTTGACAAATCACCCATTCCAGTTCCAATGTTACTGTATCCATCGAAATCCGTAGATCCATTTCGCTGCAATCAAATACACGAGGATTATAGTTATTAACCACAAATATAAGATCATGATCGATGTAGATGTGATACTAAAAATGTTTAGATCTATTGAATTAAATCAGTAATGAAAACAAAGAGCGATTAAAAACTTGATGAAAGTTGAGAAAATCTATTGTAATGTTAGTAAAAGATGTATAAATTGAGGAATAAAAAACCTCGGTAAGAACTCGTAAATGCTTTTTCCATCGGCTATCGAATTAAATAGCAAAATTATAGCAGGTGTCATTTATGTAAAAACAAATTAGTACAAATTATCTGCTCGTCGCTATATTTATTCTTCAATCACTGACCTACATTAGACTTGAGCTATTCAGAGCCAATTTACAGACTGCCGGCACAAATCATTCGCACTGTTCATCGACCGATCGAATTCACTTGACAAACTTACACACGACGTTTCTCGTGGCAAACCCGATGATTAAAGTCCTATGAGCTGGGCTATAATTGTATCCCCTTTCAAACGTAATTTTCTCGCCAAATTGTTCGACAATGTATTCGACAATGGACTTACTCATCGGCGGCAAATTTGAGCTGGACTATCAAGCGCGTCAAAAAGTGATGAATGTAAGCTCAAAAAAGGAATTTAAAGCAATTCGAAATCAAGCTTGCCAAATAAGCTTACCATGTAAAACCAGCCGAATTTGTCGAACGGTGGAGCTTCCCCTTCTTCCATACCACTCATTTGACCGAGTGTTATAAGCTTATCTTCAAAACCTTTGAAAAGCAGCTCATCTGCGGTTTTTACAACGTTAATCTCATTTGAGAACTGATTAAGCAGATAAGAAAAACTTTGTTGCATTACGAATGGCCAGTATCGTACCTTGTGCGCAGCTGACTGTAATACGATGAATAAATTGATTGGGACTGCGATTAAAATTGGAATTCAATAAAAATAATTATTGACAGATTTAACGTACCACTGCGACAACGTTCAATTGTGAAATTTTGTCATTTAATGAGCCTTTACTTCTGCCTTCGTCGAACCACCACGTACGCTTTTGTTGGTACGTCACTGTGCCGTTTTCCGGATGAAAAGTTACGTTTACTTTTTCTCTCCTTTCTCTGAAAAAAATATAGATTAACTCACTTTTGTATTAAGAACGTTTTGATCAATCTGTCATTATTTATAAGCACATAATCAGAAAATAATCGCATTTTCCGCCGGTCTTATTAGCAATTTAGAGTAAGTAGTTGCTAGATATTACGACCCATATTTTCTAAACTGATTCTGACACGAAAATTACTTATCAAGCATTGCGTATCAAGCGTTAGTAAAAATGTTTTGTCCCGTTTTAAACCGTGCATTCTTGAATCGATAATTTACATTATATTTAGGTTTGTGCATTGCTTCGAGGCAAAAATGTAGTGTTAAAAACGATTTCCGAAAGTAGCTGTAGTAAATGTCTAAGATAATTTAAGTCCTACTTAAGTTCAAGTCAAAAGATTAATTAATCAGTCAATTATAGTATGAAGTTCAGTAGCCTGGACATCTACACTGTTCGTGGTTAGACTGATCAGAGAAATTACTTGTCTTATTGCTCATTGAAAATACCAATATAGATTAGTTAAATGCTTCTTCCCTCGTTACCTATTTATAAACGAGGTAGCTCCAAAGCATCGCCAATTTCATTTGCATCGAAATAAAATCGACTCATGTATTGGGTTAGAAATCATGCTTGATGCGGACGATTTTGAATGTTCAATAACAATCTGGATCTAACTGTTTAAATTTCAATTTTGAGCACATTTCTTTAGAATGATTTTTTCTTTGTTATAAGTTTTATAACTAGCGCGAATAAGTACCCACTTTGTTCTCAAGGAAGTTCATGAACAATACCTAGCTTCAAATTGTAGGATTTTTATCGCATTTTTCGTAATGGAATAGAAGCGCGTCAGTGTTGTGCGACTTTAATTTCGCATCATCAGATACACGTGTTCTCTAAGAATATCTGTGAGAAATCCGTAAGTTTCTTCATGACCTTCGAGTATCGCGTTTGACAGAGTCGTGTTTACAGTTCACCATCATAATATATCAGCATATTTTACTTTTATTTTGCACTATGTACATATTTCAGCTACTTATATGGCAATTATACGATATAACTGTCGAGCATATTTTATTTGTATCAGAATGCACGATGCTATGAGTCATGAATATAAGAAAATGCCATACCTAAAACTATATGGTCCTAGTTGATTTAAGTTTGGTTTTTTTGTATGATCCATTATCTCCTCGGGATTTGTCCAGTTAAAGAGATAAATATCCATGTAAGTTGGCATGTTTTTCGTGTCTTTCCATAATTCATAACTTCTGGCGGTTGGCGATAACGGCAATTGCTGAAATAATGACAATGAAGATAAGCTTTAGAGTTCGCGAAATAAAAGCTCGGACAATCTAGGTGACAATGAATTCATTCCAATCGCGCACGAAGTCAAATATAAAATCGCGGGATTCTCGGGATAATTTATCGCAAGACACGAGCGGGCACGTGGCACTACTTAGAAATATCAAGATCGAATACGAAATGTCACCGATACAAAATCGAATGATAATGAGGCTAATGAATACAATTACTTACAGTGCGAATTATAAAATGGAAGAGAAAATCTCTGAGCAAGTAAAGCGCCGCGCCAAAGAGCAAAAGCGAGCATCCAATACTGGCAGCGACGAGGGTTCTGCTCATCCAGGACCTCATGGTTGTCGGTGAAGCGGTCGGTTGATCTAGGCGCAGCCGGCTATATCGACTCCGTTATCTGTCAGTGCTTGTGGGTCACTCACTATTGCTGCTGTTTTATCCGTCCGTTCAGCATAAGCGTGTGCGCCCCCGCTCGCACTGCGATGCGAACACTGACGTTCTTGCTTTAGAGAACTTATTTGCTCGTACTCTTTTCCAGTCGATCTCCCCTTCTTTTTCTTCTTCTTCTTCTTCTTCTTTGTATCTCGTTTCTTTAATGCACTTATTAAGTCCCGACGAAGCTACTATGTATCACTGATGCTGCACTTTTTCTTGCATCATATTTTCACACTCGATCAGTAAATTTATTTTCCTCTTTCCACGAGCATCGCTTTGGCTCTATCGTAACTAAAGACCCTGCAATAGATAAATATATCTAATCTCCGTACAAGAGAGGTTCTTGAATTCTCAACTAAGTACAAAATTACATTTTGGGCCTAATTCAAATTCTTAGAATTAATAAGTACCTTTCGTGCCCTTGAGATCAATGTTTAAATTTCTCTTTCGAATACTAACGTGTCGTTTACTCAATTAAATTATTTAGACGGTGAATCTATTCACAAGTGTGAGCGCTAACATACATTTACCTTTTTTAAATTTTTTTTACTAACATTCATATCACTTGTGTTCATTATGATTCTGTAATATTAGTACTATCAATTTGAAAAACGTTTAAATTATATCAGGACGCAATTGATTAAACAAGTTACTAATAATTTAAATTGTTTATTTATTAAATTGCTAGTTTTGATTCATTTTGTTTTAAGTTTTCCCGTGGATTATAAATATAAGATTTTATGTAACATCATCAATTCATTCAAATTTTAAAGCTCCTATAAAAAAATTGTAATTTTTGCTAGCATACAATCATGATATTAAATATAATTTATAAAACAGATTATGCTCAAAAAAATTTAAATCGAGAAACACAAACGTATATTGTTATTAGGTTAAAAATGTATTAAATTTTTAATTATAATATTGAAAAGGACATTGACATGATTTTATAGTTAAAGTATGAAAATGATTCAATGATAGTAAAAAAAATTCCAAATTAAATTGTATTCCAATTTTTAATAATGAAAAAATAACGCATGCATTAAAAAGTTATGTACCTTTATAAAAATGTTTATTTGCACTCGATGTACTGTATGTCATATGAACTAGTCGCATAACTGTGATCATGTAATACCATATAATCAATCCTCACATTGTGCACAAGTTTTCTGTAATATAGACAAGAGCGATTACGTAAATACAATAACACTATCGAGGTGGTTTGTGTAATTTTACGTTGAGCCTTCATCGAGTCATGTAATGTCTATGAATGTCTCTGAATTAGATGAAATGAAAAATAGTTTCAATTTCTCGTATTTGATTATTTTTTGTACGAAAATGATACAACATTATAGTGTATGAGAATTAAGTTTAAATTAAACATTTTTCATTTTAAGATCAATATTAGTTTAGTTCATCAATTTTTTGAGTGAAAAAGTGGAATTTCAATAGCTTGATATGGCTATAAAACTCTCTACAATTTAATTTGAAAAATAATAAATAATAATTAAATTTTTATGCTTATAGTATTTGAAAAGTCTAATATTTTAACTGTAAATTTCAACTATTAAATTATGTACACAAAATTGATAATTTGAGAGCTCGTTTTCATATTATCTACAGTCATCTTTCCAGAAATTGAAAGGTTTCATTATTTTTTCCATTAATCTTATAAAGATTTGTATTTCAACATATTTATAAGTACATGCTTTATTATAGCTTATTGGCAATTTCATAATTTAATAATAGCATTAAAACAGCTTTTTAATGGATGAAAAGATTCAAAAAGGATAAAATTCACTTCTTCCCATTAAATGGAACATTGCGAATCAATACATAAATATTTAAAATGCAAAAAAAAGTTTATTTAGATTAATATACCGTACTAAATTAAAAGGGTATAGTGATTCACGAAATATTGTATTTTATTCTTTAATTGCAATAAATTTGTCCGAATTGGTACATTTTCAAGAGCGACATCTGTAAACTGATAACCAAAACATTTCAGGATTCTTTAATAATTAAGTGACCCATAGGAAAAAATCGCGAAATTCCTGCAAGAAGTTTTGCAGGAATGCGGGATTTCTATTCTTGCAAGAATTTCGCGATTTTTTCCTATGGGGAAATTCTTGAAAAACTATCAAATTAGCTTTATATTATAAAATGCATGCTTCTGTTTGACAATTTAATCATTTTTAGCCAAACTGAGTTAAAATCAATTTCAACTTGATAAGGTTTAAATTCAGTTCATCCCCTATTAACTATGAATTAGCACATGGTCAAGAACTGGAGCACGCAAAGTAAGCCACTGGTATAAATACAAATAGAAATAAAAATTTATGGCTATTCTTCGATAAATAAATCTCTGACTTGAATTTTTTAATATTTACTTATTTTTGCATCAATTACATTACATCAAATTTTTGCTCCAATAATGAAATAGTATATTATGATACGTGTGAATTAAGCAGGCCATTACTGCACGGCACGGTTAGCACCCGAGCGAAGCGAGGCTGCCAGTGACGTGGTAAGAATGGGCTACTTGAGTCATAGGTATCGTATGCTTTTTTATAGCACTTATTTAAAGCATAAATATGAACTTAGCACAGTGCTATATAAAAGTATATTGTACATGTGTCATAAGTAGCACATTATGAGCACGGTAGAAGCTTCCTCGCTGCGCTCGGGCTCTTTACTCTACCGTGCCATAATCTGCTGCTTATGCCACTGTTTCATAATGTACTACTATAGCACTGCAATTTAATGCTGAAACACGGGTTTTCTAACCTTAAAGCGTCAGAAAACCCTAGTTTCTCGCAAGCAGGGTTAAAAATATCATTTGCAACTAGTCCGCGAGGAAGTTGACCCACCCAGGAGTCTTTGCACCCACGCTACGCTCAGTTGAAAACAACTCCTGGATGGGTCAACTGCTTCGCGCACTTGTTACAAAATATACTCTTTACACACGAAATGTTAAAATATGGTATGCAACTAGTGCATGGGAAGGATTACTCACCCAAGAGTCATCTTCTTCACGCACTTGTTGCATAATATACACTGAGAAAAAAAATTCATTGATTCAATGAAATATTCATTTAAATACAATCTATGAAATAATTTCATTGATATAATCTTTTTTTATTTCGTCCAACAAAATATTTAATTGTTTTTACCAAAGTTTCATTGCTTCAATCAATCATTTGATTAAATTAATAGTAAATAAAATATTAAATTAGATTTCATTGAATCAATGAATTTTTTTTCTTAGTGTACTATTGTTCGAAAACCATATTGGTTTAGCTTGAAATAAATATATTCACCGAAAAAATATAATATTACATCAAGTTTATTATCTAGAGTATTCTTGTTTTGGTCAAGTCCGTAAAACATTCATGTTTAAGGCAATGCTTCGTATAGAGTTCATAATTTGACTCAACTCTTAACCAATACACAGTATTACTTATTAACATGATATATATTAGGTCAGAAATTTGCCATAGATTAAATTATTTGAGTGAATTAGTATTGAGTCGCAATGAAAACGGCGGCGATCACGACAAGGTCTAATGATAATATTTAAGTACAAACTCTTTGCCGGCGTATTATCTCATCATATTCGATTAGATATCAGGTCATCTAAACTGAATTGTATTTATGTACATGTTTAGGGCTAATAATCATATTTTTGGAATTTTTAAAGTTATCATTTTTATATAAAATTTCACAAATTACATCGCGTAATGTATTTCATCAAAAAATGAGATTGAAATATTTCGTATCAGAGCAAAGAAAAATATTTTTCTTAAACATTAATGCACTATGGTAAATGAAATATATATAAATTTCCTGTCATCTTTTGATGAACAAAACTGCGTTGATTCATTCATAACAGGAATTATGAGATTCAAATAGATAATTCAAATCAAGAGTTGAATAATAACAATTTTCAATAGCATTTGCAATAGCAAAGACAGAGAGAGAGAGTGATTCAAGCATGGCTTGAATTTACTACTGCAGGTCGTGAACCAAGCTCTTAATGCAATAGCAGTGAATTGAGCTATGTGCATAATAAAATTACTCTATACACTGCAGCAACAAGTCTTTGTTCTTTAAGACGCTAGTTACGATTACTATCAATGACCGTGTAATGTTAACCGTCCCGGCATTTCCTTCACTGGGGTAAAGTATTTCAGTTTTTATCACCGCAGGTGATAAGAGCGATTTAACATTTACTGAAAAAGTATGTGCAAATAATTCTTAAATAGCAAAACAAAATATTTACCTCCATTTACGTTTTTAATGAAATAACAATTAATTACAGTTTTAATCCCGTTTTTTTCAAACACCGAGAAAAAATATACACCAGCTTTATAAAAAACATTGTTAAAAGAAATACTTGCTTTAAAATAAGTACTTTGATAAAAACAAATCATCGATTATCACCAATTTGATTGATTGTTAAAGGCTATTTTATTAAGATATATCAGATGATTTATTGGCATAGATTTTAGTTTACTCTGAAGGGGAAAAATTAGTCAAAAAGTATAAATTTCCGTTTAAGATAATTTGAAAAACACCCGCGAAAAAAATTAATGCTCATAACCTGGCCCAAGTGTGCACCAAATATGGCCCATGTTTAGTGCAAACATTGACATTGATTTTTTTTACGCAGGGGCCAGATAGTTTCTCGTTGGAAACTCACCTTTTAAAAATACCTGTCAGTCAGTTGTAATAAAGCAGGTATATCACTGCAATAAAGTACGATCTGTCGATTCACTGTGCGTTAATCAATTGTAAACAAAAACTCGTTTTTGTTATACGAATATGCAATCGCTCGGAATTATGATGGCTCACACGCACACACAGTTGCACAATATCGCAGACCGCGATACAATGTTTAACGTTATATGCACCCATGCGTCAATTATTGAACGCGTATTAAATGAGAGGACTGTTTAAAAAAGAAGGGCCGATGAAGATTAGGCGCTGGGTGGGCAAGCCTGATCGGTCTTTCGTCGTGCGGTGAACTGACAAACGTAAATAGTCAAAACAGAGCGCCGAGTGCCAACTGCTGAGCCGATTGAATGCAAAGCCGAGTCGACTGCGACAAGCACGTACACATAGTCGAGCATGTGTGGGATGTGAGTATCGCAGCATTAACAAGGCCGGTTTGCGCGAGCTGCGACGTTGTCTGTGGGTGGGGAGAAGAGAAACGATATACATAACACACGCACAAGCGTAGCATGGAAAATACAAGTTGCCCCGGCACTGCTCCATGATGTATCGCACAATGAAAGCGAGCAAGTGAGAGAGAAAGAGAAAGAGAGAGAGAGAGAGAGAGACATGTCTGATCAAAACACGTTTTACGTTGTTGCGCCGTTGCGTGAGACAGCAGCAGCTTGTGAGAAGAGCGACACGTGCTCTTATCGAGATGCCAGCTCGATGATGATCACGCGAGCTGTACTTACTACAAGTCTTATAAATAGCTCAAAGCTGACCACATATGCAGAGGCTGTACTTTTGAAAATACTTACGAGTTGCGCGACTTGCCTTACGGGAGCCGAAGTCGATTTGATACCTGAAACACGCGTTGATACATATATTCATAACTGCGTCAGCGTAAATACATCTCCGTATCGTCTCGCATGTCTCACATGTGCTTTGTCCGCGTGCATAGACACTTCACTCCGAGCTTTTAATTTAATTATTAAATCCACTACGAAGCTGATGTTTCCATTTAATAAATTATTACGAGAGCGTAACTTTGAAATTGACGATTTAGGCATATCTCGACGAGAGAAACTAGCGGTCGGTATTTACAAAAGCTATTGTTTGATTTTGCTCGAAAGTTTTCCAAGTCGAAGAAGAAAGATGAAGTTTTGAGTTCTACTTAGTAGACGATTTAACTGTTTTGGAATCATAACAAAATGTCAAAACTTGTAAATGATTCGGTGGGTTTTTTAAATTTCTCTCAAAAAAAAATATAAAGTTTCACACTGCGAGATGAAGACGAAACATCGTAAAAGTATAATCTGTTTATAAGAGATAGCGGCTGATGTATCTGATCGTATGTGAATTTTTTCTGAATCCCAAATGAGTTCATTGACCTCGAGCCTCTGCTTTGCGTATACGAAAGGGGATCATCGAAAAATCGAGATGACACGGTAGCCTGAAGACCGAGCCTGACGGTATTATTGTAAACAAGCGTTGTATGTTTCTACCAGTCGAGCGAATGGCCATTACAACAAAAGTTAGTGGAACTCATCGAGACACTGTTGAGCGATATGCTAGAAAATTTTCCGTATGCTGAGTATATGTAAGCCTCAGAAGTGCTCCAGACTGCTCTATACTCGGCTTAAATAGTAAGTATTTCTTTTTCCTTCTTTCTAAAGTTTTTTGTATTCTGTTATTTCATACTGCCAATTTCAATTTTTCAAATTATCTTATTTCAAGCATATATCCTTTTACTTGGACGACTTGGTATCGCATCGAAAAATTTTATTGAAATCAACTTACGGAATAGCGAGATCGTAAACGGCCTCATTAAATTGCAAAAATATGTGAATGATTAGAAAGTGGCTATCGTTTTAATCTCTAAAATTTTGCTCGCAAAAAAATGATGCTATTGCTTTCTTATATTTACAGTTTTGGAAACAAGTAATTTATACAATTTTAATAGCGATATTTACAGCGAAATCCGCTTATTATGTCTACGGTTTATATGTCCAGCCGTTTAATATGGTAAAAACCCTCACCCCCATCCTATGTAAATGCATATAAAATATTTTATGTGCTTATTATGTGATCAAACATAATTCCGAAATCATGTTCAATTATCTAATGACGTAAACATATATGTACATTAGTACTAAATTCGACCTCGATCTATAAACAGCCCAACAGACAAAAAAATTTCACCATAAATAAAAAAAAATTTAATAATCGAAGAGAAGCTCAATTTATTAAAAAGTTACGGTAGGAAATTTTCAAATTATTATTAGAAAAAAGTTATCTAGAAAATTTTTCAATTGATAATAACAATCGAGGAATAAAAAAAATGGATAGTGCGAAGAGATCGAAAAAGTATTAAAAATGCTTGCGAGTGTCCGTGATAAAGACGCAAAAGTTAATAATCATATATGATGAAACAAAAAGTAAAAGGCTTTAACCCATTAACGACCAAAATGCTTGATTTTTTTGTTGGTTTTCGCAGCGATTTTTTTTGTAGTTTTAGACCTTAGAAAAATTTCGCAGGGACCTATTTCGATGTAAAATTTAATGTCCTTTCAGAAACTGAGCGCAAAATTTTGATTTTTTGCGTAATAAAAAAGTTATAGCTACTTATACAAAAAAAAACGTAAAAATTTTTGCAAAAAATCAAGTTTTCGATTTTTTTTCGCCATGTTACCGGTAAGGAATCACGATATAAATATGATCAGGGGTGATCACGACTATCAAAGTATCTCAGAGAATTTTTATGGAATTTTCGAACCATTACTTCAAACAAAAAATAACTCATATTCATATAAAACATGACTCATTTTTACTCGAAAACTATTGAATTTAGAGAAAAAGTGCACAAAACGAAGATTTGAAAAGTGGTTCAAAAATTCCATAAAAATTCTCTGAGATACTTTGATAGTCGTGATCACCCCTGATCATATTTATATCGTGATTCCTTACCGGTAACATGGCGAAAAAAAATCGAAAACTTGATTTTTTGCAAAAATTTTTACGTTTTTTTTTTGTTTAAGTAGCTATAACTTTTTTATAACGCAAAAAATCAAAATTTTGCGCTCAGTTTCTGAAAGGGCATTAAATTTTACATCGAAGTAGGTCCCTGCGATATTTTTTTAAGGTCTAAAACTACAAAAAAAATCGCTGCGAAAACCAACAAAAAAATCAAGCATTTTGGTCGTTAATGGGTTAACCAAAAAACTTAGTCCCACCGTGGTCATAATAAGCGGATTCCATTGTATACAATTTTTTTATTCGTTGAAACCTTCTTTTAAATTTAAAAAATAGGATAGTAGCTCTTTAACTTTTTCCAATATCAGTTTGAAAATTGAATATAATGACTTATTATTGAATTTTTCATACCAGTAGTCCTAAAGCGACTGTTTCTCGGCCGCTGCAAAAAAAGTTATTTTCAGGGCACGGGGTATAAAAAATAATATACAGGCCTAAGCCACGAAAAAATTGGAAATTGGACTTATCGAATTTTCCGGAAATCAGAAAATCGCGCTCCAAAAATTTTGAAAAAATTTAAGAGTTTGATCAATTTTAAGACTTTTTTATTCTATAAACTTTTTTCATAAACTCAATGGTTTTCAAGATATAAATTGAGTTTGGTTTTTTGTAAACATTTTACTTCACAGCCGCCATTTTTGTAAAAAAAGTGGTTGGAAAACTCTGTAATAATTCCCTAAGATACTTATCTACCCATGATCCCCTCTGATAATATTTATATCTTGAAATTTTGACTGCAACTTATGCAGGAGCAAAAACTCTTTTCATTCTAAAACATGGGAAAAATCGTATCAATCGCGAACGAAAAATTTCGTTTGGGCGTTAATGGGCTGACTCGCTTTTTCAATTTGATATTTTTCTAATCGATCATAACTAGACAAAATGTGGATAAACACATTTTTTGTATATTCATGTAAATTTTTATCCATTTCAACAATTTTCAATCAGAGCAAAATAAATGTTAGCATTGAACTTTTTGAATCATCGTCAAGACTATTCCAATCTTTAACCTCGATCATTCAAAATACGATTCTTCGGTTCAGTGATTCTTTAAACTCAAAAAATGTTTAACCAATTTTTCTTTAATTTTGCGTATACTTCTTTATTAATCTCTTGTGCAGGTACTCTTGAGATATTTCGACATTTACAAATGTTATTTTATTATTTATAACAATTTTTCTGAAAAAAGTCGATTTTTTCAGTTCGGACTTCAGCTTAGATTTTTACGAAATACGATGAGAAATGCGTTCATATACATTCATAAGAAATACAAATATTTTTATTGTACTATCAACAAATTATCATTAAAAGGAAAATAGTCTTCGGAATATAACAATACCTCCTTCTACCCCCTCCCCTACCCCTCTTACCCGTCGCAATGGATGTTTCTTAATGTATGAAATAAAACTTGTAATATTTTTGTAATTACTTACATCTGCTTAAGACTATATTTTTTATACTTTTCAAATTTTTGATCTTTTTTTTCTGATTTTTCACAGAACAATTTTAAGCCACAAAAAATAGATACAAAAAACGTAAACCAAAATACATGAGTGTATTAGGCCTGCTACAGAAACCGCTAAGAAAAAATGCAATATTTATCAACTTCAAATATGGTGTGGAAATAGACTCGATTAATTTATTGTAAAATTTGAACTTTCGTAAAATTGAGGTATAAGCCAGAATATTTTTAATTTTTAAATAACTACATCGATCACGTAAGTAAAAATCTATAAAGAATTCTTATTAATTCATTATTGGTTTAAAAAAATCATTTTTTTTAAACAAACAGCTGCTTTATGAAACTTTTTTTACATTACATTATCAAATTACAAATTATGTTTGTCAATACAGAAACAGGAGGGCGAAGAGATTAGAGGGATATGACAAGAGGAGGTGAAGGTAATATATATAACAAAAGAATGACCCAGTTGTGCGTACTTTGAGGTATATCCAATGGGAAGAGGATCTCGGAGAAGCGGATCTGAAAGGTCTATATATATGATATATATTATATATATGGGCAAGGCTCAGAATTTTTAAAATAAACCTGCGCTCGTATGTCACCGATCTTGACGTGCTTTAGATATGTTATAGTACATGATAAAAAAGTGCGAAAACCAAAATTTTGGACCACCTCCCCTCTCCTATTCCCTTCCACCCCTATAAACGTTTATTTTCTATCTATATTTATTCTGAAGGCCTTAAGGAGGCTGTAGCGAAATTGAAAAAATCTTTAGACCGGAGTGAAATTTTAACCACTGATAGTTCATGAAATTACAAGATTTTTGGTAAAAAAAATTGGGGGTTTCCATGCAAATTTGGGAAATAATGAAATTCAAAGTTTTGGCCATTTAACATTGAATCAAATGGGAAGTGGCAGTTTTTAGTGTACTGTGAGCTCAAATCTCTTTACAAGTTAATGAAATTAACATATGTTATAGGAAATTTCATTGGCTTTCGAATGATATAATTATAAATGGGTGTTTTCAGGCAAATAAAAAAGATATCAAGAGTCCAACACTTTTTCCCTGTGTTCTGCCTTGCTAACGCTGGGCGCTGCGTGACGCATATAGCCTTGCGCATGTAGCGCTTTAATACAGAACCACCTTGCATCGCTTCAGCCTCCTTAAGTAATCAAAAAATCTGAAAAAATTCATAAAAATACTTTTCACCAATCCAAACAACCTTGAATTTTTTCAGATTTTTTGAATGCTTCAAGTCTTCAGAAAAAATCATTTGAAATGTTGAAAATTCGTATACGGCGCTACGATGCAATTCAAAGCCCGTTTTTTTTCACTTACTTTTGGCATCAAAATACATAACCTCGAATTTTTTCGAATTTTTTCAGAGAGGACTCTGACGTCTAGAGCCGAAAAACGCTTTTTTTTACCGAAAATAACTTTTTTAGGGCGATACAAAGCCTTGAAAAATCTGGAAAATTTTTTTCTCATTTTCTTCATCGAAATACATTACCTTGAATTTTTTCAAATTTTTTAATTGACCATAACGAACCAGAGGTTCCGGTAAAAAATTTTGAAAATATTTTTTTTGAATTCCTTTTCAAATTTTAATAAATTTCGACCGTTTCAAGTGTTCGATTGGAGCTTCCTAGCTTAATCTAGAGCATCACAAAAATTAATGCAAAATTCTGAAGACATTCATCATAGTTACATTATTTTTCAGATGTCTTATGATTTCTGAGCCTTACCCATATATATAATTCTGAAATTTAATTTTCCAACAAAGTAAAGCTATTATATGTATCAACTAATTCATCAATAGAGTTGAACTTGTATAAAAACAAATTTCATATAAAAACTGAACTCAATGTATCTCTGAAATGACTAAATTTTGCTGAAATTTACCCAGCTATAATCAGATTTTAGAATGTCTGTTAGTCATAAATTTGAGTTTAATTTTTTAAGAAACGCAAGATGATCATTTTGCATCGGCCGTATTCTGACAAAAGCGTTTTTTAGCCCACCAAATAGCTCCCAAAGCAGCGGCCAAAAAACCAATTCCTGCCACTATTCCCATCGATATAGCTCGGTTTCTCCGGTATGCAGGAACTTCCAAAGTAAATCTATCGCTTACTGATATATCATCATTTTCTGAAGTTCCCACTACTTCAAATGTGTAATAGTTTTCTTCTTCTAAAGTTTTTACTGAAAATTAAATGTTGATTTTGAAAAAATTCTTAATTATAAAATCAATATATAGTTATTTGAAAATGAGACAGATAAAATTTAGAAATATTCTAAGCACAAGCCTAATTATTAATCTTTCTGAAATTTGAGAGCCCTGAAAGCGCTTATAGTAATTACCTCTACATTGAATCTTAAAGTATGTATACTTGGGAGGAGCCTAAAAACATTTTTGACGCCGATCGTTTTCTGGGCGCATGAAGCTTGAAGATTGAATTTCAAAGAAACAGTATCGTTATGAATGAAACCATTGCAAAATTTTATTTAAACCTGTGATTTTATCATAGACTAGATATGGTATAATGTGAAACTTGAATTTTTAATAAAACTTCAAACAGCTATAATTTTGATTTCAGATGGCACATAAAAAGATTCAAGTTCAACCAAATTAAACTTCATTTTGCATTTTTTGAGACTATTTAATTATCAATGGAGTTTAAGTTAGTCCGGCATGTGTAAAATTATAAAAATTAAAACAAAAAAAAACAAAAACAAATGTAGTTTGGAGCGTGACGCAAGAAATTGCATGTTTCGGATTGTAGCTTGAGTAAAAATTGAAAAAAACTCCATACAAAGTTACATTATTGGAAATGTCTTTAGAAAATAAAAATTAGATTCCTTGTGCGTTTTTATAGCTGTACAATTACGCAGCGTACAGCTATGCAAATATACGCAAAAAATAAATAAAGCCTAAAAATTATATCGTTTTTATTTTCGACCTTCCTGTGGGCTAGTCTCCGCTTCTCAAGACTTAGAGGGCTGAAATTTCATAGAGAACCATCTATGGTATGGTCTATGGTAACCGATAAGTCTCTATATATGTGTGTAATAATGTATAATAATACCTGAAAATTTTAGCCAAATCGGTTTACCTGGATTTTTTATCATGTACTATCGGTTAACCAAACCGAAAAATTTTGCAACGGTTTCATTTTGACGCATAATGGTATTATTTTTTTTTAAATTTTCGTGCACCAGCTGAAGACATTGTTTGTTCGTGCCTAGCACGCGGCTTTCATTTTTATTTCATCTAATAGTAACGTTTTATTGCTATGAGTAGATGATTGGCTTCAAAAGGGTTTTTTCTCTCCACCCTAATATACACTTGTCCTGTTACCTAATGTACCATTTTTGATGAGTTCCCGTCTAATACCAAGAGACCCTAATTTTGACTAATGACTCTAATTTTTCTACTTGTTATTTTTTCATAAGACCATTGTCAAATTTATGATTTGTGCAACCGTTTCCAAAATACATTTGTTAAAACAAAAAAAACGTGGTTTTTGAACATTTTTTCTCCAAATGATCGTTTTTTTCACCACGATTACGCATTCGGATCGGCTTGAAACTCTGGATCTGGTGGCATACAGGCCTATACTAAAGGTTAGCAGCATTGGTTCATCCAGATTCAAGATGGTAGCCACCAAAACAGCTGATTGTAGCCGAAAATTAAAAAAAAAGCTTTGGTATTCTTTTACTTGGTAAGAATGGACTCTATAAAAAAATGTTATAGATACAGCTATATCCAAAAATTTCCAAAATCATCGAAAAAATTCTGGAAAAATTCACCCGTGTTCTTTAATCAATTCTAAGCATTTTTGTTTTATAACATTTTTTCGTACAGTCCATTTTTACCGAGTAAAAAGACACCGAAGCTTTTTGTTAAATTTTCGGCTAAAATCAGCTGTTTTGGTGGCTGCCATCTTGAATCTGGATGAACCAGCGCCGCAAACTTTTAGTATAGGCTTGTATGTACCTCATAGTACCAAATATAATAATAGTGAAGTGATATATAATCATAGTGAAAAATACGATCATTGTGAAAACAAATGTGCACAATTTATTTGAAAAGACCGATAAAAGTTTTATTATATATTGTATTTTTACATTATTTTGACAATGGTTTCATAAAAAAATAGCGCGCCGAAAAATAAGTCAAAATTAGGGTCTCTTGGTATTGGACCGATTAAGGGCCAAATTATTTATCCTTTTTTATCACGAAAAAATTATCGATCACCCATTTTAATTATTGATTGATGTTTATATAACTTAAACCGATGTGGCACAACTGAAGGATTTTAATGAATGATATAGAATTTTCATTTAATCGAATTTATTGTTTATTTTGAGTTTTGCTAAATCTCTTAAAACTATTCATCCGCACTGTTTACTAATAGAACTAAACTTGTAAGACAAATTCCCCAAAATAAGTTACAAAGGTCCACTCGTTTAAGCTCTATGAACCTTCTTCAATAATTTAAACAGTCAATCCTTTGTTTTTTGTAAAAAAAATTAGATTTCGTCTGTATAGTAGTACACAGCTGCAGTTAATTTACGGTCAGTAAAGAAGAATCACAAATAACACGATAATTTATTGCAGGCTGCTCGGGCTTAATAAAATGAATAAGTATAAATGTTCATAGAAATATTCAGAATTGTTCAATAACTCACAAAACGTCAGATAATTTCTCAAGTGTCTACTCATTTTTTAAGTGAGCTCTAAGAATCACTATTCTTACTAAAAAAAGGCATTATTTAATTGTATATTACCCAAATAATAAGTATCAGTTGTTTCAGCTCTTCCGTACAAGTGCTCAGAAGGCCCTCTGAACCACCTCACAGTGTAGTACTTAATTTTTTCTTTACCGGTGGTTGGAGGCTCCCACGTTACAAGATATCCTTCTACTGTTACTTGAACTCGAACGTTTCGTGGAGGTCCCATATTATATTCATCTACAATTGAAAATTCATCGAGCGTTTTCTTCTTTACCAAATTGACAAAATATTTTTTTTTATAATATTCTATTAAAATAAATGAAAAAGGCATTAGACGATTTATTACCTTGCGAGAATTTAAATTCAGATGCGATATTTTGTAAGTTCATGTCTGAAACAACAATGGAGATTTATAAATTAATTTATAATAATTTTCAATTCTTAGGGCAGAATTAAGCATTAGATTTTAATTTTAAACTATATAACTCACTAGGTTGAGTGAAAATGCGAACGGTTTTGCTGAACATTCCATCTCCATGTTTATCCTGGCTAAGTACCATAAATTCATACTCTTTGCCTGGAGCCAAATTTCCTACAGTAGCTTCAGTAATTTTTCTGGATACTATTTTCATTGTTCGCCATTCAGATGTATCTGTAGGTCTATACCTAAAAAAAGCATCTAATTCAGAGAAATTGAGTACATTAGCCAATATTTAAATGCCATAAGTATTTTAACTTTTCCAAATGGCCAAGTACACTTACATAAAATACATTATTCAACAAAATTAATTGTTCAAACGGGTTCATGGACTACAGTAATTAGTTTATCAAAATCTATTATGCACCATTTCAAAGTACTCTTTTCAACGAGTAATTTAAAAAAAATAGAGCTCTCTACGATAATTTTTGTGCCCTGTAAGTCGTTATGAAGGTACCACTTGTGTACGAAAATGACCAAAAATCGAATCGATTTCAGCTAAACAAGGGATTTTACGTACTTTAAATGGTACTTTCATAACGAATTACAGGGCACAAAAATTATCGTAGAGAGCTCTATTTTTTTTTTTTTAATTACTTGTTGAAAAAGTACTTTGAAATGTTGTATGATAGATTTTGATAAACTAATTACTATAGTCCATGGACACGTTTAAACAATCAATTTTTTCATTAACTTTTAGCGTAGCGTTCAAATACAACTGGTAACTCGATATTGACTTGAAAGTTTATTGAAAGAGGACGAAATTCCCAAGAAATCAAAAAGAAAAATTCGTCTTAATTCGATGAAAATAGACCAAGATAAAAGCATTTGAAAATTGACAAAATTTCGATGAAATTTTATGTTGTGATAATTTTGTTGAGTAGTGTAAATTGTTATTAAATTACTTTTGAAAAGCTTGGGGTTTATACCTTATACTTGAAAAATTATGTGAATCAACAGTTATAACAAACTTGATTGCAATAGTTTAATTACCATATAGAATATTCCATTTTGGGTCGGACATAACCAGGGACCCATGTCAATGTTACAGCATTTTTGGTACTATTAGCACTTAAATTGTAAGGCGCACGTGGTGGTACATTAAGAACCATTAATTCAGCATCTGCTACAACTGTAGCAGCTTCGTTGCTCGCAGCACATTGATACATTCCTCTATCTTGTTCCTGTATCCGTTCAATAGTTAAATTTCCTCCTTTTATAAACATCCTATCTGGTGATAAGGGTATTCCATCCTATAGAGATAATTGTAAATAATTATCACAAACTTCTTTATTACTTAATCATTTAAAGCAAACACTCACCTTATACCACATTATTGATGGCCTGTGATTGAGATCACCGTCTCGCGCATCACAGGGTATTTCCAATGTATCACCAAGTTTACGCATATACAAATGCTGAGGAATCACCGTAAAAACCGGAGGACGTTGAACGATCTAGTTTTCAAAAGTGAACAGAACATTTTTAAAATGCTAAAAAATTATTTTTCATCATTTAAGTGATGTATTTTGATTGATTATTAAATAAAAAAGTTATATTTTGATAATATAAATATTAATTGTATTATTATCACATGATGTAATTCATATTAACCAATTAACGCGCAAAAGTGCAATTTTGTGCATGAATTTTCCATTGTAAAAAAATCGTAGATAATGTAAAAATTTTTTCTTGAAAATCCATTTTCAGAGATTTTTAGGTATGCTCTTTCAAAATCCAGTGTTATTTTTGCGATAAATAAACATTATTAACGTTTATTTTGCAATTTAAAAAAATGTGATTTTTTGACTTAAATTTTTTTTTCAAAGTCGATTTTTTACATTGCGTTGCCTTCGGAGGGTTCCCATAGCACCAGCAAGCGTGCACTTTTTCATTGAACCTTCAAGAAACGTGTTTCTGCGATTTCTGTATAGCCCCTATATTTCTAAAATGGCGGATTTATACCGACCAGCAATATATAAATTCACTCATTTTTTCACATGCGCTAAATATCAACTAAAAAGTACGATTTTGAGGGAAAAAAAGTATTTGATACCGTTCAGAGAATACGTGTTAATTTTTTCAACATTTTTCAGACCACTTTGAAAATTTTGCAAAATGACCGGAATTAAAAGATCCAAAATGTTCCAAAAAAATTCTTAAAAAATTTACACGTATTCTTTGAACAAACTTAAATATTTTTCATTGTATGAGTTTTTTTTATAAATTCAATAATGTCTGAATAAAAATAAGTGAATTTATATATTGCGGGCATAAATCCGCCATTTTAGAAGTATAGGGGCTATACAGAAATCGCAGAAACACGTTTATTGAAGGTTCGATGAAAAAGTGCACGATTGCTGGTGCTATAGGAACCCTCCGAAGGCAGGGCAAGGTAAAAAATCGACTTTGAAAAAAAATTTTAAGTCAAAAAATCACATCTTTTTTTAATTGCAAAATAAACGTTAATAATGTTTATTTATCGCAAAAAAACACTGGATTCTGAAAGAGCATACCTAAAAATCCCTGGATGTGGATTTTCAAGAAAAGATTTTTACATTATCTATGATTTTTTTACAATGGCAAATTCATGCACATAATTGCACTCTTGCGCGTTAATGGGTTAATTATGTTTTACGTATTTGAACTTTTTAAATTTCGAGAATAATCGAAATCAAAAAATATTTATTTTTAAATCTTTGAAACTATGGAAAAAATTTTTCATATTCCTTAACTAGTTCCTCAGTGAAAAAACTAACCACATTGATTGGTGAGCTTGGCCCTTCTGTACCAAGAGCATTATAAGGTGTACACGTATAGCTCCCGGCATGACTTTCATCTACTTTATTGAAAAATAGTGACCCGTTTCTTCTGTAAAACACTCCTTGCACGTTGTATGGATCAAAGAGAAATCCATCCTTTTCCCATCTCAAATTTGTAAGCGGTGGGTTCGCTCGAAAATGGCAATCTAATAGAGCGTGTTTACCATAAGGTAAAAATACTTCTTTTGGAGCATAGATAACTTTAGCTCTGTCTACAAATACAAAATCGTGGAATCTCATCAATTTTATGACTTAAACAGAGTTATTAATACAAATTGGGCACTTGCATTGTACATTCAGATAAGCAGCAGCACTTTGTGTTTCCCCATATTCATTGGTTACGGTACAGCTGTATTCGCCAAGATCACCCATCAAAGATGGATTGATAGTGAGCGCGCCATCGCTAGCTATAATTGTTCGTTCTAAGAGATCCTGCAAAAAATATGTGTAAATTTTAATACATATAATGTTAAGGGAGAAATAGGCTTTACAAACCTGTTGTTTTGAGATCTCTACTCCTTCGCGATACCATGTCACTGTAGATTTATTATTTTTTGCAACACAGTCAAAAGAGACTGGATCTCCCTCCATGACAGTCTTATTAATGGGGGGAACAGCCAAGAGCGTCTCGCCTGGAACATCGGTCGTTGGCGGCAACAAACCTGGGTTAAAGGATTTGACCAATCCGACATGGTTAGTGGTTAGTAAAGAAGCGTGTCAGATGCATTATTATTTTTTGACATTTTTTCGAATATTTGTTTCAAACAAGTCGATCGCATTAAAAGCTCAATAATACTTATGGTTAATTATCGCTTCATTAATTTATTAAATTATGGCTCAACGTAATTTGGTATATAATAATACGTTGCAAAATTATATGTATTAAGCAATAATTACTCTGCATCACCGCAAGTAAACTTCAAGCTCTTGTCTTTTATTACACAGATGAACGAATGAGAAATTTCAGTACAACATTGCATATCATGATCATGATCATCGTCATCATTGTCATAATCTCAGTTATCGGTAATAGTTTGTACACCGAGCTTATCATTATTTTCTACAGCATCTCGTTATATTTACATGGGCTAAGCCATAGTTGGCGTGATGGTCCAAACAATTTTTTTTCTTAAATTATGTACTTTTGAAGAGCACATTGAAAAGTAAAAATCCTGAAAGTTTCAGCCCTCTAGGTCCAACGCTATTGGATTTTCAGGGTCTTTAAGTTGAATTTTTTTATTTCTGCTGATATTCTGCTTGCAATTCTGATTTTCTTGGGTTAATATGAAAAAATTGTTAAATCATGGTTTTTAATGTAAAATTTGATGTAGAATTCAACCATGATTCAACAATTTTTCCACATTAATCCAAGAAAATCAGAATTGCAAGCAGAACATCAGCAGAAAAAAAAAATTAAACTTTAAGACCCTGAAAATCTAATGAATTGGAACTAGAGGGCTGAAACTTTCAGGATTTTCACTTTTTAAAGTACCCTTCAGAAAGTACATAATTTAAGAAAAACAATTTTTTTTACCATCACGCCAACTATGGCTTAGCCCATATCGTCGCCCCAGCGCAGGAAGGTATTCATTTCAAATCTGTAGCAAAAAGGATACTTACTCGCGCGCAGAGGCAAAAAGGTATCTAACTCAAGCGCAGAAGCAAAAAAGGTAGCTTATTCAAACGAAGTGGCAAGAAAGTTTTGACGCGCTGAATTTAGGTTGGCAACGCAGCCGTAAATGATAAAATTTTGTTTTTTATTAGAGTAAAAAAGAGGAAAAACAATTGAGCTACTGTAATGAGTTTCATCTATTTGAAATGCGAGCAAACAAATCAATCTCACCATGATTTCGACTGAATTTGCCACTTATGGAGAACTTTGTATGTTCTGAGAGGAAAGTAGAAGTTATAGGCTTTACACAACTTTGAATTAAATGTTGAATGTTGAATGTTGAAACAGAATTTCATCATTTACGGCTGGATTAACAACCTAAATTCAGCGAGCAAAAACTTGACACTTCGTTTGAATAAGCTACCTTTTTGCTTCTGCGCTTGAGTTAGAAACCTTTTTGTCTCTACGCGGCAGTAAGTATCCTTCTTGCTACAGATTTGAAATGAATACCTTCCTGCGCTGGGGCGACGACAAATACATTTTATTATTACTAATTAATGATGACTTGATACTTTTACACCAAGTTTCAGGATATATTAATAATTTGATAAAAATTGCTTCATTGATATAAGATCTCCAATCACCATGAATTACTGTCTAATTATTTATTTGTTATCAAAGCATTTTTAAGAAAAAGTTGTTGTTAAGATGTATTGAAATTTAAATATTTAATAATTAGAAATTTTATCAATATTGAATTAAATGCTATAAGTAATAACAAATTATTAAAAATACTAATTTTAGGAATAATTTTCTGCATTTTGTTTTATAACAATAACTGCATCAACCTTTAATTAACAAAGTAATTAATAACAAATGAGAAGAACATTTTCTACTCACCGTCAATAGCTAGATGAAACCAAGTACCATTGTTTCTTGAACTGGGAGTTCTATTGGGAAAAATGACTCTGCACTCATACCACCCTTGGTCACTATCTCTTATATTAGTGAGATTAATACTGCCCTGACCAAAACCTCTAGTTTTGGCATCATCGATTAATCTGATGCGACCTGAATAACCATCGTCAGCTGATATCATACCATCAAACCAAGAGAAAATTGTTTGACCCTAAAATGAAAAATTTCATCTTCGAAAATCAATTTAAACAATATTAAATACTAAGTTGGTTTTAGGTAAATTGTGATGTTTTTTTATTGCATAATGAATGCATTGTTACAATTGATTACACAGGCACACACCAAAATTGAAAAGTTCAGTTCCAGAGACGGCACGTATAGTAGATATTACATATTTGAGGTCGCTGAATCCGAATCTGGCATCAGTTTTTCTAACTTGCATAATTTTCAAGGTTATTTAAAATTCAGATTAAGTAAAAAAATTTAAAAAATCGGAAAAAATTTATATCAAGGTTTTTGAGGATGATGAATACTCCGAGTTGAGATGAATTTTATGAAGTCAGCTGTACTTCGATGAAGAGATTTTGGTACAGCTGCACACAGCTGATGATTCTTTTTTTTTGCACAAAAACTTTGGTATGTATTTTTTCAGATTTGTTTACTACTTCTTCTCAATCTGACCTTCAAATGCCCTTAAAAATGAACCAACCCAGAAAATCTAATGCTGAATTCTGATTCAGCCATCCCAAAAACCAATTGTCTATGCGGTCAGATCTCTGGAACTGAACTTTTCAAATTGTCGTGTGCCTGTGTTATCATTTTTAAACAAATTTTTAAAGTATAATATTTTATTGCACAGAGCTGAGATTTTTATAGTTGATTAATTAGACGTTTCAAAATAAGAATTCGGGATCTATTGGAAGATTAAATTTAACCGATAAAAAAAACATCAGATTCCTTTCATCTTGATTTAAAAAAAGTGTATTTGTTTCCTTGTCGAGATGCTCTGTAACGGGTACGAAATTGACTTTTGTTAATTTTAGTACCTGGTATATCTCAATTATAAACCAGACAGAATTTGTAACTGATGTCTGTATAAAAGAAATCCATTTACGGATTCAACATACGATATTGTGACGTATAATTATTTTTAGATTCTTAACATTTTTTCCAGGACATTTTTCGGTCAAAGAGCGTTCAAAATTTTTTAAAGGATATTTTCGATTTTACAACAGAGAAGTTACAAATAACATATTTAAAGTAACATGACCCCCGTGTTTTTCTAAATAATTGTAAAAAGGAAAATTTTAAATCCTATTCCATGAAAGTGGTGAGGTATTTAGAGTGAGCATGTCTCATAAGCGTTGTAATTGATAGTTCAACAGTTTCGTATAAAACTTTTAGTGGCGCGCAAATACTTGTGTTGTATAATGAATGAAAAATGTGGTATATTTATCTATTGACGGCCTGATACTAATTTTGATTGATTTTCTAGAGAGGAAATTATTGCGAAAGAGCCAGTCCATTTCGTTTTGGTACAATTTATGATATAATCTTCGTTCATTTCATTTTTTCAAATTAAATTTTTAAAAAATGGCTAAATTAAAAAAGACATGAGAGGGCGCATGCAGTTCGCTGTATGTAGAGATTTTCATCTTCATTAAACACTTAGCCAGAGGTTGCGTTTATGCCCAATAATATCCTGAAGATGATGTGCACAACCTAGTGACTGCGAAGCTCAACTATAAAACTCTTTAGATTTTACGGTATGCGCTTATATTTTAATGCACTCAAGTCTCTCAATCAACCAAGGCTTGAACGTTATTAGGGATATTTTTTGGACCCTATAGGTGATGTAGACCTTCAAAAATACTCGAAAAACTCTAAGTTTTTTTGCCAAGTCTATAAAAGTTAAAAAAAACTTCTGAGATATTTATTTTATTTTATTAGTTAAAGATGCCTATAAGTCCTTAAGCAGAAGGAAATACAATCTATCTACGGTAACGAATGAAGTTGGATTCAGATATTGCGAGTACTTCCTGTGAGTAGAATGTACACACTCACTTTCATCCTTCACCTTTTTCAAAGAATACTCATAATTAAAACTATTGCGGAAGAAATCTCCGAGCGTACAATTTACAGACTTATTTAGCTTTTCAGTCTGTAAAACGCGTTATCACTGGGGTGGAAATGGAGGTACTAGGTCTGTGACCTCAAGAAGAAGATGCTCATATAATCTAAATTGAACTTTACTCGTAGAGTTCGTCCGACTGTTTAATTATCTCTAACTATACACGCAGAAATAAAGGCAAACCCATTGAAGAACAAAACATTTTTTTTGACGTAGACTTCATAGTAGTGGTAATGATGATGGCTGCACCCATCATTTACTTGGTAAATGAAAAGGAATCTAAAGCGTTAAATTTGTGCCAGTTTAACGAAATCGGGGTTATTGACAACGGAAGTAGTCCCGCCCAAAATGCTCTGTACACTAGGTGAGCGTTAATTCTGTCCGGTCCAACAGAGTGATAGAACGTGCATAAGCGTAGGAAAATCCGTCATTTCATCGAACAGAATTACCTCTCACCTAATGTACTTGAAAAAAATCAATTTAAATACTTATTATCTCAATATTTTTAGTTCTGCACTAGACCTACCAATTGATTTAAGCGGACCTCCCTCCTCCAAATTGAAAAAAAAAATGTTTTTTCAAAGATTTTTTTTTTAATATAATAAAACGACGTATCTTAATGAAACTTTTTATACATACTTTATTGACCTTATACTACATGAAAAAATTTTTTATAATTTTTCACCACGCAGTGTCGTCTGCTAAAATTATTTTAAAAAAACCGCGGCGGGAACCATTAAGAAAAAACCATTAATTTTATCACCATGAAATTTTAACACAACAATCTGTCCATTACTGCTCAGAATGAACTAGAAAATCATTAGTAAAAAAATAAAGAAATGGCAGCGTTTTTTCGAAAATCGAACTTTTTTTTCGAAAATTGTTCATATCTCCAAAAATATTATCCCGATTTTTTCCATTGTAGTTCATTCTGAGCAGTAACATGGGCAGATTATTGTGTTAAAATTTCAGGGATATAAAATTGATGTTTTTTTCTTAATCTTTCCCGTCGCAGTTTTTTTTTCGTGTTCTTTTAATGGTGCTGATTTATCGATTTTTTTCCATTTTTGGAAGTATTTTTTTACTTGTACAAAAAAAAAATTATTTCTAAAATAAATATGCGAAAGTACATGACTTCGAGAATATTTTGTGAAAATGACATCAAAAAATTTTAATTTTTGGGCCTTTAAAAGCAAATCTACGGAAAAGTCATGAAAATTCTGGTGATAAACGTATCTTTTCTCAGAATCATCTGAATCGAAAAATGCAAAATTACCTCATTAGTTTATGAGTTTTATCAGGTACTGACGTAGTTTTTTTTTATAGTGATTTTTCGAATTTTGACGTAATTTTGAAGTTGAAAAAAACGTTTAAATTGCATCCAGACATGAAAAATCGACCTTTTTTCTGAAAATTTGTTATAAACAAAAAAATTTTCGGAAAAATCGAAATATTTCGACGTCAGTACCTGCTCAGAGGATTAATAAAGAACTGTGCAAAATTCCAAAAGGGTCAGTTGGGTAGTTAGTTTTTGAGTGACGTTTCTCGCCGATTTGAAAAATGTCATTTTGAGAAATCGTAGTTCAAAGATACAACATTATATATTAGATACATAATAGTTATCGAACTAAAAGTTCAATATTTTCGTCAATTTTGCTCCGATTGGGCTGAAATTTCAACAGAATACTCTTGAAAGTATAAACAATAAAATAAAACAATAAAAAAGTTTTAAATTTTTCAAGGCCAGGACCATATCCCCTCCCCCCCCCCCCCCCCCCCCNTCCTTAAAGCAATTGTAGCAGACGACACTGGGTGGCAAAAAATTATAAAAAAATTTTTTCATGTAGTATAAGGTCAATAACAACAAGGTATGTATAAAAAGTTTCATTAAGATATGTCGTTTTCATTACAAATAAATCTTTGAAAAAACATTTTTTCTTTTTAATTTGGAGGAGGGAGGTCCCTTTAATTGATACAATTCCGGGTAAAATACTTTTTTTCGTAGTCAATTTGAACAGTACATATAAGCTTACACCTGTTTCATAGTTATTATTGGGGGCCATCAAAATGCGGCAGCAGTATCAAGAGGTGGAGTAAATGTTCATCTACTGAGCGCTAAAAATCTATAACAACTTTGCCTTGACTACTAGAATTACTACCAGCATGACGCGAAGACGCGCACCTGTTTATGCATTCGGATCAGGCAATTACGAATCAAAAGTCGTCTTCGGCTTTCCTCGCTCTTCTTATAAGCTTTTGTTTACACAATGTCATTTAGCTTATGCTCTTCGTCTAATGTTTTCGAAGAAAGACAAGTTGAACAGCGACAAATATGATTATTTGAATTAATGTTTCCATTAATTATCTGTAATAAAACATTATAACGGAATCAATAAATCCAAGCAAACTTTCATTTTTTTACTTGTTTATCGATCGAATTAATTACGAACGTGAAATACTTATCAAGACCCTTCAATGTGTAGTAGTTTATATGATTGACATCAAGATTTGATTTTTAATTTAACCATCACATTATAACTAAAAAAAAACTTTTTTTGAACAATACTTGTTCTGCTCATATTTTTTTTGAGAAAATAAAAAAAATTTTATTTAATTTCTAAACACAAAATCCGTGTCAAAAATCGCACGAATATCGCGAGGATCGGTGTAATCGAGTAGCGAGTCTGAAATTGCATCAGGTTTTGCACTTCACGTAATCGTGTTATGTAGATATGTACATAAAGCTGTACGGTACTTTTCCCACATCAGCTAACGATATATGTTTCAAAGTGACGAGTAATGAGGGGACAAGAGTTATGAATGCATTGTACACTCAAAGATTAATTTAAAGTATTACGAAAATTGAACCTTAAAAATTGGCGGCATCTTATCATAATTGATAGATTAATGACCGTTCGATTGGTAAAAAAAGTAACTTGTGGCAGAGAGGGTTAAAACCTCGGCATGAGTCGAGTTCTTTAGCTCGTTTATCATTCGTGCGTTTCCTGTCGTTTGTTGATTTAAGGGCACAGCCTCCTTAGCCATGCTTTAATGCACGTGCCCCAGTAAGCTACCTAGATTTGTGAGCTCTAGCCAAGAGCTGTGCATGCAGAGCAGCTGCGTGCCGAGGCAAGCAATCTAACAATGGACAAGCAAGAGAGAGGCATAAAGAGAGAGAAAGATGGTCTTGGCGGTGCATCGCTTAAACTCGCGTAATGCGCTGTAATCGCCAATCAGCCGTATGTGCTTGCTCGCGCTGTTGCATCGAATTATTCTCGCTGCCGTCGCGTTCGCGGTTCCGCCGGACGAACGGTTGACCTCCATACATTTAAGTCTGTACGGCGACGATTTCATCGTCAGGAAATCGATCAAAACCAACCGATAATGATCAGCGCCAACGAGTAAATGTGCACGTCCAACAGGATTCGTCGACCATTGCATGATTACGTCCATACGTACCCTGGTAGAAATGCAACATTTTTTCACCATTGGCAATTCATGGAAAATGACCATTAAATGGACATTTTTTATGAGAAAAAGCGTTACACCAATGATGAAAAAATGTTGCATGTCTACCAGGGTAAAATTGATCATCTTTACATTACCGGTAGTATACAACCATACCGCTGCTAGTTCAACAATTAGACCTATTTATGACTTCAGTTGAATTTCGGAAAGCAGCTTTTGTTACTTTTGGTCCGAATCAGAGCCTTTATAAGTTCAAATTTTAAATTAATGACAGTCGTTTCATAATACTCGAATAAAATTAGTTGATATATAATCATTGTTTCCATAAATGTCTGTAAAAATTATGTTTAATTTTTGATGTTTTATTCTTTTTGCTTCACCACTGAATGAATACCGAAGTATGTAGCTTATAAAAAAAATTTAGAGTTAAATGTTTTTCTTTTAACAAACATAGTTATTGAATAATAGGTAACGCGAAATACGTATGAATGATACATGATGCAGATATCATTATTTTATGATTGAATCGAGCATGATGAAGAGGATTTAAAGGTTTAAAAGCGCAAAACCTTTGATATAAAATTATGATCTAGAAAACTTACATCACGATTCCAATATAGTATGTAGGGTATCGGTATGTCATGTGGGAAGTCGAGATCGCAATTGAAAACGACGTACTCGCCGACGGCTGCGGCAAGGTAACTTGGCTCTTTTTCTTCTTCCAGGAGTAAACTCTGAGCCGCAACTGCAAAGAAAGAGTATATGTGCACATAAAATGTATTGTTAACAACTTCTTAATTAAAGCTGAATCAGAACAATTAATTGTTTTTATTTTATAAGTGTACAATTTTTAATCGAGATAAAAATAGAAAAATAGTTTTTTTGATGTGTTAGGGTAATCTTCTATCGGAAACAAATTTTTGTTATTTTTACTCTTTCATCACATTTCATAAAAACCTCACTGATTTTGAAATGATCTATGCATGGCAGACTGATAGATTCATTTCATGCCTCCTAACGATATAATGCTACCTCAGAAAGAAGCGTAGTAAAAGTGCTACTTTTCTTAAGAAGATGCTGCTTCAACTCGCGAATGAAGCTAATAGTAATAGATTTTTGAGCATTTACTCAAAAATGTGTGTGTCTGTATATTTAATGTTATATTTCATTGCGAGCTGAATCAGCATCATACTGCTAGGAGGTTTCTAATTGATTTACTTAATTTATTTAATACATATAATTTATTTTATAGACGTAAAATTATTCAACTCTATTTTTTAATTATGCGTTGCGTTCAAACTTAATGCATTGAAATTCTTTACCCGACTCAATTGTTTTATAAGTAAAAATCTTTCCTTACCTTTGTAAAATAGTAAAATCAAGACGAACGTCTTGAAAACACTTTTCGCTCCCATATCGGTGCACAATAATTATTAAAAAACATATATAAGTTATGTGAGTTTGGCTATTCACACAATTATGTTATGCAAAATGGCTTTTCGAAGGAAATAAAAAGATTTAATTTACGAGAGCTTTAGTAACGAGGATCACCAGAAACGATGAGAATCTCAAAGGACCAATCGTCATTCCGGCGTCAATAGATGGAAATGGCTCGAGACTCGAAGAAAAACTGCTAGGGACGATAGGTTGTTCGAGTCGTGTCAGAACGTACACAGTAGCAAATATAGATAATGTCTGTACGTGCGTCTCGATGATGACCGCGATGAATCGAGCTTAATGAATCGTCCAGCAAGGCCACAAAGCGGCGGAGAACTTCCGTCCCTCCTTATGTCACTGGCGATGGTGTTTCCTCGTTAGCATCGCTCTTGTGGAAATTGTCCACGCGTTCGTCTGGCTCTCAACAAGCCGAATTTCTTCCTCTCGAATTCGGGACCTCGGAGTGTGGCCAGATCGATTTAAGTGCAGTTGAGCTCACTCGAGCCGTGCTATTGCGCTCTATGCATTGAGATGTTCAGTGACAGTTGTGCATTGGCCGCAGCGAGCTTGAGTGTTGGACCGCTTGCTTTTTGCTCTTGTGCGCGCGTGATGCGTCGTTGCTATATACTCCGCTGTAGCTGTGACCGACGTTACGCTTAAGGGCCCTGCGAGCGCGTCAGACTAGCGAGGTAGTGGGTGTCATAAAGCTGATACATACGCGTGCATGTGTGACTACTTTGAGGTGGGAGAGAATAAAGCAGTAATTCAGCACCTTTGCCAAGTACGCGCATTGTCGCAGAATTACTTCTCGCTTAACGCATGTCCTATGCTATATGCAGCGCAGCTAATGTAACATGTCTGTACCCTCGAGCTTATGCCCGGTGCGTATGTCGCATAAATGCCGCTGATAAAAATGCAATCTTTCTCTTTTATCATCTTGAATGCACCAGCTGTTAGAGCTTTTGGAACTTTGCTCTTTAAATGGCATGTCAAAGCTTCCTTAAAGAATAGGTTCGTAGACTTCATCTAAATACCCGGGATCTATTAGTTTATTTTTGTCTTTTCGTTTTAGATAAAGAATTTTAGAATCATCATTCTTCTTAATACAAATTATAAATGTGAAAAAATTAACGTAATACGAAAATGGTCCGTGAAACTCTCTGCTTAAAATTGAAAAGCTTATTCAATTTGAAATTGATAAACGACTTGGAAGTAAATCTAAAAGACTGAAACAAAATCGTTGCTAAAGTGTACTGTATCATGGAAAACATTACAATTGCATTATTCAATTTCAATGAATAATTTCAATCAAAACCTTAAAGTACATGTGGAAATTCAAGAAACTTTTAATACTTAAGGAACCCATTTAGATGTCGTATTGTAATTATTTAAACAAGATCTTTGCTATACTTCTATTATTATAAAGTATATTGCGAGACCCCTTACGAAAATGAGGGAGATTGAGATGTCTTACGAAAATTAAGAAGTTTCAATTTTTATTACGAAAACCAAGACATTTCGCGCGATTTCTTAAGAATAGTACGAAGTTATAGTTTTTTTTTCACGGAAACTAGAAAACCGTTGGAATTTTTAACGAGAACTAGGAAATCTTACTTTTATATGAGGAAAATAAGGAAGTATGACTTTTAAACAAAGGTAATTAATATTTATCATAAGTAATTATGCATAGAGCTCTCTCTACTTGTTATTAAATTATCATTATTCATTATTTATTCATTAGTCACACAAATCGATGCATTTTATTAGCAATATGTTATTTGAAATGTCTTAAAAGAACTAGATTATCTCAAAAAACTGTGTGAGAATAGGTTATCGTGAGTTCGTCCGCCGAAAACTATGATACCTTAATGTTTTTGATCTTCCCGAAATCATAAGAGGTGTAAACGTTTCTGTAATTAAATTTACTTAGAGTAAATGTGATAAAAAATAATGTATGGCTAATGAACGACACTGGACGTTGTAACAGAAATGAAATATTTCGTTCAAATTTTTACCTGACGTCATGTCGTAATAGGTTTGCTAATTTTCATAAGAAAGTTGTGTGTTTTCAACCAATTGCGGTTGTGGGGGTTGAAAATCAGGTAAATAATTCAAAACTATTTTACAAAATGTACTCATGTTTTTTTATAATATTAAAGTAATCGAAAGAATTTTTATTGCTTGAGAAGAAAACTGAACTAAATTATAAATATTGATACTTACAGTTCATATTTTGATAAATTTGAATTTTTAGGATTTCAAAAGTTTCAATATAATTGCACTACTGTTTAATACAAAAAAAATGTGTTACCGATACCGAGCTTAAGCTAGAAATCAACGTCTGCGTGTATGTGATACAGGAGCGCGACAAAATTTCCGCTGACAAAATCTCTGTCGACAAAATTTCCGCCACATTCAAAAATTTTTTTTATGTTATAATAGTTCAAATTTTTTTATTTCGATGGTAAAACATGTTCATACTGCATCTGATTGACCAAAAAAAACTTCTAGCCAAGCTCTAGAGAACCAATTAGTTCATTTCTTTCATATAAGTAAATATTGTGTTATAAATCACTTGCCGCATGATCTTGAAAAGAGTTTTTCATCAATATTCATAGTGTTTTTGGCTACCTCTTGTAATTTTCATAGTGCACCGATTGAGCTTCGAGATCAGGGTAGCGTACACTTCTGCAGAACACTAATGCTTACGGCCACTACCATGGGTGAGACGATTAAACTCATAGGTCACTCTCAAACAGTAGAGTCACCTACCCAGTGATTGAAAGCATACCAGTGAATGAAAGCACTTCTTTGAACAAAAATCATTAATTGATAACTACATTATTCATGAACGACGAATTTTTATGCTATTCATTGGTATTATTGCTAACTATTCGAACGATTATCGGGTCCAGAATCAATATAGCTATTTGTACTTTCATTTACTGGTTTCGCGGCTTTCATTCACTGGATTGAATGTTTCATTCACTGGTAAAGCACGTTTTCTTTCATTTTCATGAACTTTTATAAATAAAAAACTCAATTGAAAATTTTGTGAAAATTCTAATAGGTATAGGAAGGTATGAACTTTGACAAACTTTTGGTTCGATCACCTGAAATTGACTGAAAACATGCATCCAAGTTGCTTGAAAGCAGAATTTTTCTAAACCTTTCAATCACTGGTCGAGTGACTCTAATTTTATGACTTAAATTTCGGCAAAAACAAAGGATGAAAAAAAAAGGTTTAACTGTTCATGTAGAGTAATCTACATGTTCGATCTTTCTCATCCGAGGTACTGACCGTAAGCCGTGATGAGAAGTGTACGCGACCCTGGTGCTAAAGTTAAGGTGTATATGAGTAAATCTCATGAAATTTTAATATTTTGCCATTAAAAAAAAAATTTTTTTTTAAAGCACACTCGTGAAATTTTTTTTGGGGACTTACAAGTGATTCAGAAACCTGAAAAAAATAGTGCCCATAAAATTTGGGCGAGGGCCTTCGAGGATTTGAAAAAGTACATGTTAAAGCTAAAGCTGATGAGCCATATTTTATACCATATTGATGGACAATATTTGCTCCTAAATTTGGTTAAAATTTTAAATTTTTGACATTTAAAAAAAAACACATAGCGTTATCTTTTCCAAAATGTCGAAAACTAAAATGGGCAATATAGATTGCGCCATTTTAAGTAAAACTGTTGATGTGCATCGCAAAATTCGATTAAAATGCACTCAAAATCAACAATTGTCGCGGGCAAAACCCATGTTTATATCGTATATAACTTTTTTTACAAAGCACGCACATCAAAAATAGACATACCACTCGATTCTGCTACTCAAAAACTACTTTTCCCTATGATTTCGTGATGATTCATGGTGGGGCCAATTGGGATATTGGGATTTTGTAAAAAAATCATTAAAAAACTAAAAGTCGAGTTGAATTTTTCTCAAGAGTGTAGAAGGCGCAGGTAACGACGCACACCAGTCAGTGACATTATTTTCGAAAGTTCACTTTCTGAGGATTGTTTGGTGATGGTTTGGATAAAAAAGCTCGATGGGCCTATCGGGAATCAGAATTTGAAAATTAAAAATAGGATGCATTGAATTTCAAAACGCATAAAAAACGCTATAAATTGCATTTTTTTTTATGAATTCAAGTTTGGACCCCACTGGAAGTTGTTCTCAAGAAAAGAAAAAGTTGAAAACTTAACGTTAACAATGCGAGGAAAGGTATATTTTAGGTTTACACAAAAATATTGTGCAGTTGACACGAATATTAAAATTTCGTGAGATGTACTCATATAAGCCCTTATCCTTCACATTAATTATATACCAATATAAGCTGGCATAGTATGAAGCATAATTCAACAATATAATTTTAACGCGCCTCGACAAAAAATCTTTAGTCCCCAAATTTGATTAAAATTTTATCAATTTTTAAATGCCTCTATCTCTATCATTTGTGATCGTATCGAGATGTTTTTTTTTAGTTTTCTTGGAAATTTTTTTTAAAGCCATTTATATTTTGAATAGATTTAAGAGTCCAAATCGGGTTTCTAGACGCTCTTAAGCGTAACACCTTAAATGACAGAATAAAATCGATTTTTCAAACTTTTACCTAGGACTACAGTCATTTGTACATCCAAATCCAACTTATATCATCACAAAGTACTCTTTTTAATGAGTAATTAAAAAATAAATCACTACGATTTATTTTGCGCCGTTTTAAAGATAACATTTGAAGTACGAAAAATTCCTCAAGTCGAGTCGATTTTAACTAAACGAGGCTTTTTGTTGGGGAGTTCATACACTAGGCAACTAAATTATCGCAACAAAAAATTTCATCGAAATTTTGTCGATTTTCAAATGCTTTTATCTTAGGCTATATTTATCGTATCGACACGGCTCTTTTTTGATTTCTTGGAAATTTTGTCCTCTTTAAATCCATATATACTATGATAAGATTCGAGTCAATGTCGAGTTACCAGGCAAATGACTCTATGAGTGAATTAAATGCGAGAAGTCAAATTAATCGTTTATTATTTATTTAACGCTTATAAAAAAATCTTTTTTAGTCGAAAAGTTAAAAGATTCTCGGATTTTCACATTTACGTGGACAATTTTACATTGTCCGATCTTCCAGCAAAATCGTTTAAATTAGGATGATCTTTGTTTTCTAAAGCTCTAACTAAAAAAAATATTTTTTCAAAATGGATCAATCAGAAATCTTAGAATTCATGACAGAATATTCTACTTCCATCCGCTCTTTGCTATCGAATAAAAATTATTTGAAAGTGAAAGCAATTTAAAAATAATCCATTTACCTTCGTTGTGTTTTGTTACCCGTGTAGATGTAAATTTACACGGGCAACAAAACATTATTCAAAACTGTTATCTTACAATTCTGAAACAAGATGTGAACTGGTACTAACTGTGTATGACTACGGTACGGACTGAGTAAAACTACGGTAATTCGAAATTCTAAATGCAGGCATTAATTTCGAATTAAAGAGATAAATTTATATGATTTGATGACTCTAAATGCAAAACTTTATTTCAAATCATCGAAGCTATTCTTTTATATTTTTTATACATTCTTTTACGCCCATGCAAGAGCATCAAGTTCTGCCAAATTGACCATTCTACGTTTCAACATATCGCTAAACGTAAACTGATTCAATCAAAATAATGCACTGATCTGTCCTGGTGCATCTGTGACTGAGATGGATATTCTAATCATCGCACATCTGAAAAGATTTTATCACATTCCAAAAAACTTAATCATTCACATGATGCATTGCACACTTGAGCAGAATTCAGATAATTATATCTGCTTCAAGTATACTTACCAATTAAATTTTAAAACTAAAAGCATAATAACTGTTAAGTTAAAGATCATGCATGTTAAAAAACAGAATATGAAAACGACAGTAAGAAATTCACATTTTCAAATGATCATTCGCTTTTTTATTTTATTTAATAAATTTTTCTACAATTCATCTTAATGCAGTACGCCTTGGAGTTCTCGGAGTAGCGAGAAAGCATAGTTTAAGATAACGAACAACAATTTTTTTTATATAACTCTTCTGAAAAAATATGATGTAAACAAACTGTTACGAGAATGTGTAGCGCATACAGGAATTTTTAAAATTGTCCGCTTTTGTTTTTAAATTTTTTCAAATGATAAAGCTGATACAAAAAAGTGGTGCAGGAAACTTTGCAAAAATTTTTCAATGAAAATTGAATTTTAAATTATTATAATCTTACTCATTTGGTGATATTAAAATTAAATATTAACTTTTATTTGACACACCCTCTTGGTGTAACGTACTTGACATACTGGGGTTTTGTGTATCCCATCGAATGAATTGTTAGTAAATAAATAATCTATTAAATATTTCTGTTCTATTAAATTTTTTGACGCGTTTTTGAAAAGATTATTTTGAAGACTGTATAAGTTTTATATTGACATATTGAAAGAAAATGTGTTTAACAGATTCAATTTTTGTCGATTTTGATACTTTGAAAAAACGTAGAAAAAGCGTGGAGTTGATTCTACCCCAGTGTGTCAAGTAAAGGTTAATGCAACATACGTATATTTTTGCGAGGAAAATAATTAAATACTTAGTTTTCTTTAAAAAATGCGTCACATGATTATATGTTATTGTCCGTTTTTCATTGGATCCCATTCAAAGAAGAATACAACAAAAAGTTATGTTACAGATTTAAAAATAGCTACTCGAAAGAAACTAGGAGACTACGTGCGATCCGGAGCCAGATCTTCTCCAAAATTTTTTTGGAGACTCATTTTTGAAAAAAGTACCCGTTTTTTACCCGGTGAGTCTCCGTAATAATTTTGATAATGATTTTCTTCTCTATCGAAAAATCTTTGAGATATTTTATCTCAAAAAGGAACAGTCTGAACGGCGAAAATGCCAAAAACTTTGAGGTTTCTCTACATTTTCGGCATTTTCTTGTAGAAGCCTGTAGATTCGACACATTTCTGGAAAAGGATGATAAATCGTCTTAAAATGTTGAAAAAAATTCATGCGTATTCTTTGAATTATTTTAAGAATTTTAGTACTAAGAACTTTGCCATAATTATAGTCGTTTCTTTTTAAGATTAAAAATCACCAAATTTTAATTACACAAGTAACTCATCTTTTAAAATATTAAATGGCTGCATTGTATAAAAGAAAAATGCGGATGTCTTTTTCCATTCAAGTGTCCCAAAAACAGTGTTGGAGAACATCTGGGTACTGGAACTCATGTGTCTATTTGTAGTTACATATTTAGATAATAAATAATTGATTTAGCATTGCAAGTTTGGTTATTTCTCTACTCAGTTCCTGGCCAAAATTTTTTTAATTTTCGGTTAATAATACTGTCTAACCTCCAATTAATATTAAAGAACGAGAAAATGTTCGTTAAAAACAGTATCAATAACCCATTTTGCTCCAATACGACCCAAGCAACATGATTTTCTACGAAATTATATAAGTAATGGAATTTACGTTGAAAAATATGAGATCCACATGATATTAAAAAAGAAAAAAAACGGACTTGAAATAACAAAAACTCATAAAAATTTCATTTTTATCAATTTAAACGAATTTTACTTGTCTCAAATATTTTATCACGATTCTAGCTTTTCCAAATTTTCTAATGCCATTCATGTTTGTTGTAACACAGCCTCATGATGCTGAAATCGTTTTGATGAAAAATGGGTTAATATATAAAGTTAAATTTAACGTTTTTCAAGTGTCGATATAATATTTTGTAATCAATATCGAGATCAATGTTTTATTGAATTAAGCACCAAACATTTTAAAATTATTCATACTGCATTCTTCTATAAAATAGTTTCAAATGAAAGCCGTTGATATCATGAGCATGATCACTTATTTGTAATGAATATGCGAATGTTGCTGACAAACAGACACCATCAATGATATATAAAAATACGATTAAAAAAAAGTAATAAAATAAAAATAGTTCAAGATATAAATTAAATTTTAACTTAAATAATAAAATTGTACTCGACGGGCAAGTTTCAGTATTTTAAAGATACTTCTACAATCTCGAAATTCATTTTTATACAATACGCCATTGGCGATGTAAAACACACTCGCGTTTCACAAAAGACTTTGGAAATGTTTTTTTTCTCCTAATTTTTCATATTTTAGAAGCATATATTACGTTATTTTCATTTTTACAGGATCACACAAGTCTCTTCGAAGCAATGATGTTCTTCTGGAATTTAAAGGTATTTTAAAATTGAGAGGAAGAACTCTTTTACTTTATTCATTCTCACTGCCAGTTATTCTAAATCCTTGAAGTTTTGCAATTAAAAAAGTATAGTTCATCATACGTGAAAGTAAAGATAAAAATACAGTATGTGTTCGATTTCCCATCAATGAACTCCGAAGTAACTGTAATTGTGAGCGCATGAGTATGAAATTATTTTTCGTAAGACTTTTTTTTCAATTTGTCACGAACCATTGCAGAATGTTTAATGCACACGTTTACAGTAACTTGCGCTATGGTTTTACAAGAAGCAAAACTATTTCAATCAGATAATATAATTTTCAAATATATTCATGAACTCATTGAGTTCGCCTATGTTTCTCATAAGCTATTCATAGAATAATTTTTTTGTGCAGATGCAAGATAGTTCAAAAAGTAAAACTATATAAACGATCGCTTCAAACGTAAGTAAAATTAGAAAGTAAATAGTGTGCGTAATTAACAATAATACTTCTAACTTATAATCACGATTCAACCATATAGTCGTTATCTATTCAGAGAGTATCTCAATGCAGTTACTTTGCAAGTGTTATCTGTAATAAAGTATTCGTAATATGCTTTATAGTTATATTTATATTCATAAATAGTGAACAATAATTTCTCTTTAATGAATCTATCACTCTCAAGAGTTTTCAAAAAATTTCGTAGCGAAACCCGAGCGTATCGTCTTTGAGATCGTTGTATCTAACTTTAATGTAATATCTACATTCTTATATTTTATGTAGATTCATTTCTTATTTATTACACTGTCAAAGGAAAAACACATTTTATAACCTATATTATGATTTCCCTTGTTTAAACTTGTTTTAATATTGTGTCTTAATTGCATTCAATTAGTCTATTCAAGTAAAAAGGAAGCACGATACTAGATCCCAAATGAGTGAGATATGAAAGTATCAAATAAATATCGATATGATTTAAAATAGTCTGACTAACGAAAATTATCATTGGAAATCGTAATCATGAGAAACCTTCAATCCTCCTAAGCAGTCAGAATATTAAATAATAATAAAACCTAAATTTGACGAATATTCCATACACCAACACTAAACTGTTCTATATCATTACATTTTATGATTTACGATAATCATCCAATTATTAATTTAATCATCTTTACAATTACTTTAGAATGTAGGTACTCTTCTTTCAGTAATATTTTCAGATACTACTATATTTAATTGCTCATCGTTTTTTTTATAATACATCAACTGTATTCACATTCTCGCGCATTCAAGCTGCTCAACACTCTAAACACTTTTTCAAAATTTATGTGATATTGATAACTTTTTTGAGTTTTTTTGTACAGTATATGACACGATCCCACTCATTTAGATCAACCATCACACCATTGTGTAATATCACTTGTTAAATTTATAGTTGAATCGTGAGTAGAGCCTTCATTAATTGTACTTGTACTAATAATTTTTAATATATAATAATAATAATATAATAATAATAATAATACTAATAATAATAATAGCTTAGGTATATAAATAAAATTTTTGTACTATAAAAAGGAAATCAAAAGAATCTTTAAGTTTCCAAAAATCTATGATTTTTGCACTTGTTTACATCTCTGCTTGAGCATTTCACATATTATACACCTTTTACCTTCACTTCATTGTCAACCAGATAATTTGAAGCTTCAAATGTCAAAAATCTTGGTATTAATAATGTACTAGAAAAATTGACCTCGTGCTTCTATTCTTTCGTATTATGACGATATTAAAAAACCCGCAAATTTTCTCGTAGATGCAAGTTATTTCATCCACGCTTTTGATTCGCAGCATTGCCTTTATGATGTTGCTAATGTGAGGTATTTTTTGTGATTTCCTAATTGTATAACGCTGTGCCGTTTTAAAAACTTTTCATTGAATTGCTTATGAGAAATTATTGTGCCGATAATAAGTATATATTGGGTTACTAGCGACACCCTAAATAGGCAGTGCAGTACAAGTGAGTTCTCAAGCAATTTCGAGGCAAGCTTCGAACTAATATCACGTCTCAAGTCAATTGCTCATCATTGTATACTTTACTTTAAGTTTTTTCTTTTTCATTTTGATAATACAAATATGCGTATATAATTGGTTGTATTTAAACATTGTCCTTTTAATCTCAATAAAATTATATGTACCTTTTAATTGGTTCAAGTTTATCGATTCATTTGTCAAGTAATACTATAATGTGATTATTTCTTATTTCACTCTGTATTATGCAATACTTTATCATACTAATGAAGTTAGTTGTCCCGTGATAATTGTCTATAGAGCATTAAACTTTATACACGGTATGTCTTTGGAGTGGCTTCTTTAATCAATCAGCCTTGCTCTTCATTAGTTTTGATTTTTTTCACACGTTTGCATGCTTGTTAGCACGCATATCGCTTATAAAGCGAAATGAAAAAGTTGCCTATATAGGCAGACAAGTGAAGAGTCGTAAATTTGATCAAGAATTTTTAATTGCTCATCGCTCAAGCCAACAGATTCTAAAATTACAATTAACGTGGGCATTAAAAAAAAAAAAAAATTCTCACTCAAGGTTGAGCTAAGCCCGATGAAGCTGTAGTAAGCTCATATAAGTCCGTGTAAAATACAATAGCTCAACAGGCACTCTCTAGATGGGCACTGCAACGACGTTTGGCTTGCCTCTGACGGAACTGGTGAAACTCAGCCTTCATAGCCTGCACCCGGGCCTCGATGTTGTCCCGAGAGTACCTGCTCGAGGAGATCGGCAACTGTGAATGAGTCTGCTGACTGGTCGTGTGCACTTGGTGTATTTGCGGCAGTTGATGGTGGGGCATCTGGTGCACGGGCGGTCGCTCCTCGCGCGTCGGAGTTGAGGCCGACGTAGGTGTCGGTGTACACGACACCGGGTCGAACTCATAGTGGCCATCCACGCTTCCAGCATCGACGTTTGCTGCGGCAACATTGTTGAGATTGAACTGCTGGGATTTGCTCAAACCCAGCGAATGATGGAGGTGCGGATCTTGAAGCTCAAGCCATCGACCTACCGACAGTGGAGGTGGTGGTGGTCTGTAGGGCGGGGGCCGCCATTCGGCAACGGTGCTGCCGCTCCGGGAACTCTGGTTCTGTATCTGAGAGGTGTTTTTGCTACCAAAACCTGAGCTGCTGGATCGGCTCTCGGGCGAGGTTTCCAAGTCCGGTGAGGCTGCGAGTTCGGGTGCCGAGCGGGCGTGTCGAGCGTGTCTAGGTGGCAATCGGGCTCGAGGTCGGCCGGTGCCTTGCGGCGGTGATGAGGTGGCTAGCGGTTGAACCGGCACAAACCGTTGGGCCTCGGCGTGTATGGCCTTGAGCGACGGTAGCTCCTGACTGTAGCGTTGGTGGATCGAACGCAGCTGTAAGTAGCTCGGTTGGCTTGGGAAAGCCGCCGAGGCGCTTCGCTCGGTAGCCGTTGAGTTTTGCGGCTTCACCGAGCTCAAATCACTCGTGTACATTGGCGAATTCCAGATGTTGGTCGATCGAGGCTCCGTCTGGCAGCTCGGCGACGAGGCCAAAAAGTGCGTCGAGCTTATTGTACAGATGGCAGAGTCAGGCACCATTGGAATAGGCAGCGATAACGGCATTTGACAGTCTAGTTGGTGGGTATTGATCTGATCCATTAGTTGATGATGCTTTTGGATCGGCAAAGACTGGGGGGCGATGGATAATCCACTGCCCTCGGAACGTAGACTTAAATGGCTCGTGTCGACGAGTGGTCGTCGCCACGAGGACTTGAGATGCTGCTGTTGCTGCTGTTGCTTCATCGTAAGAAAGCCACCATCGTCGCTACTTGATGCGTCCAAGATACTGTTGTTCATCGAGGACATGACCGAGTCCGCGATTACGAATCGTCCGTCGGCTGCACGGCTGATCTTGCCGAGTGGTCGAATACGCCGCACAATGTCAGGAGAATCGGGGCTTAGCAACTCTTGCAACAGCTTCAAACCTGGTATTCGGCTTTTTCTTGGTCTATATTTGGATAAGCACAAAAAAGCCAATTAGTTTCGTTACCACGACACATTGAATATGCGCTTTACGTCAAATTCATAGAATGCTCTTTTAAACAGTTTCATTGCTAATTATGCTATACTATTTTTTCTCTATGATTGGAAAAAATGCTGTTCCATGAATTTTACGCTTTTCGCTAAACTTATGGCATGCAAACTTCAAAATACATTAAAGTAGTGTGTTAAAAATGGAAAATAATATATAATAAATAGTATATTTAATATAGATAATAATTCATGATTAAGTGATTAAAACTATACTATCAAACATACGAAAAGAAATAAAGACATTACTTGAAAGCAGGCAAGGTACTTTATCAGAAAAACATGCACGTGCTGTTACTGGTGCAAAAACACACTTGATACTTGGGCGGTGAAAAGGTTTCTTGCCGGGTTAGTGAAGTGGAAGTGAACGTGGATTTTCAATTTTACATTCTTTTTTTTCAACAAAAGTTTCCACGCAATATTCAATTCCAATATATTTTTTTTAAATATCACAACAAATTTATAGATCTCAAATCATTCCATTAATTATATATATAGAGATATATATATTATTATTAATTGATTATTATTATTATTTTTAGGTGCACTGAAAATTGTCACCTTCTGAATTCCTCCTTCGTGTCCGGCAGCAAGGAAAGTAGGGGAGAGAGAAATATGAAAGGCAACCATTACATTCACAAACAAAATAATGAATAATAATTATTGCTCTAAATTATTTCGATTTTACATCTATAGGGGCGATAAAATTAAGGGAGCAAATAGATATCCACGTAATTTGCGATAATAGTTTTTTAATATAACAATTTCCACACTCCCAGACTTTGTACTAATTAAATTGAAAGTTATATTATTACACAGAAGATTAATTCGCGAGAACAAGTTTTGAGATTGCATTTTTAAATAATCCGTGAGATAAAGTGTATTCAAATTCAAAAAAATCCTATAATGCGAAAAAGTTGTAAAATATATTTTTGGTACAGTAAATATCAATAAGTAAGAAAATAAATTTGTACACATACGTGTGAACATTAGCTATTTGTGCATTCTTTTCGAGAATATCATGCTTTTAATGTGGCAAGAAAGTGAAACATTATTTTTCGTGTAAGTTAAGTAAACGAAGAAACATCTTAACAATCGGAAAATTGAACGTTTATTATTGACGTAATATGTGAGGGTGTACTGTGAGGATAAGGTATTTTTTAGTGTGGACTAAAAAATAAACGATCATCTCGGATAATATGTTTACACCTACTCTGCAGATTTTGTCTGTTTATAAGTTATAGTTATAAGAGTCTTCGAGTACTAAGAAACTGAAAATAATTGAGATAAAAAAATTAAACCTGAGTCAAACATCATAATTTAAAAATATTTTAAAACTAATTATTAACACCTATTTCCTATAATGTTTAAAAAGCACCAGCATAAGGAAAAAAATCATTCCATTTTACAATTTAAAACTTATGTTAAAAAAAAAGTTTAATAAAAATCCTTGATACATTTTTTAGAAAACAATTGTCTGAGTAAAAAAAAACATTAAAAAGATTACGTAACTAAGCAAAAAGTTTTAACAGATTAGAATGCAATAACTTAATGTTGCAGTAGCCATTATAAATAATAATAGCAACGTTCTACTATAAATTGTATATAACAGCGAGACATGAAAATATTATCCCAATAAGATGAATTATGCAAAGATATAATTATGAAATAAAAAGTATGTGATAACGAAACCGTACACGAAGAAAAAAAATTTGGAACATAAATAATGCTGAATAGTGGGTTTACAGATTTTGTATATATATTTATATATAAGGTGTTTATGTACCATAAGTGCATAATAAATGATGACACGATCGATCTGATGCTATCTATGTACTCCCTAATCCGCCAAGCTTTAGAGAGGGTACTGACTGGATGAACTAGTGATCAGTCCTATATACAGCTGTGATGTGCAATATTATCTGCACTGCACACACTCACATCTCGACTCTTGTTCAGTCTATATTACTGTCTTTGTCACGAAAGTTATCCTAATTAGTCTATCGGACAGTGAAGATACAGAGCACAATTTTTTAAAGTCGTTTTGCATTTTGTGTTTCGTTTTCGAGGTCTTTAATCTCATAATGATTGCGGTAATAAAAGTAGAACATTTTCAATGAGTCACCGGTATAACATTGCAAAAGTGGAGAGAGGTAACAGTCTCACATTTTCTCGTATAAATTATTATTTTTATTATCATTATTATTACTATTACTATTACTGCTACTACTATTATCATCATCATTATTATTATTATTATTATTATTATTATTATTATTATTATTATTATTATTATTATTATTATTGTAATTATTTTTATTACTGTTATTTTTTTATTTATGCTATTTTATATTAATATTCCGTTTTTTCGTTATCGTTCAGTATGTATAATATTTATAATAATAACAGCCACAGAGACAGTAAAACTCGGAGATCAATTATATAATATCGCAGCAGTATAATGTAATTTAGTTGTGGACTGTATACAATCCATGATACTGCCCAAAAATAAAGTAGCTTTTCCAATATAATATAAAAAAAGTATTATCCAGAAAATGTCCACGCCACGTGCTCGAGAAAGTATAAAATATTTCATTATTAAATTTTATTTAAAGTCATAGTGGTAAAATTTTGTTAAATTCTTGCAACTAAAAATAGTTGTAGCTGTGAAAAATGTGAGAAATTTCAATATTTAATAAAAAAGTATAAGTGCAACATAAAATCGCGTTAATATTAAACAATTTTTCGAAGGATTTCTACACATTAGTTTCTGAATTTCAACCTTACACTTTTGATTCACTATAAGTTTTATATTTAAGCTTTATTTTGAGTATCATTGTTGAAAAACATGACAACATTTCAGGCTAAATGTATATTTTTAATAATTTTTCAAAGGGACAACATAGAGCGAAAAGAATATTAAGGATTCAAGAATTAAATAAGTTGAGCCTCTTAAGATCTATGAGGATCCGAACAATGGGTGCCGTGTTTTGATATTATTCATTTTTAACTTATTCTGAGAAACTATGCATTAAATTAATATTTTATGTTTGGGCTTTTCATGGTTATTTTAATACAGCTCACGTACATTATACTGTATATATATATGGATTAAACCACCGTTAGCGTGATAAGTCATCAATAGAAATTCAAATAAAATATTTACTCTTATAAGATATGTATTAAAAATGAAAATCCTGAAAATTTTAGCTCTCTGGGTTCATTCCTTATGAATGTACCGGGGGTCAAAGTTGGATTTAATTTATTATATTTTATATTGCTTTCCTGGTTTTATTAAGAAAAAATCATACTCATAACCTCAAAACCTCTTATATATAAACATTAAAGTCTAAAAAAGTTCTTCAAATTGGCCAGAACTGGAATACAGGCGACCCTCGTTTTACACGGTAAATGCGTAAAATAAAAGTATCGCGTAAAAAATCGTCATTTGTTGAACCTCGTATGTTTTTGCGAAAAAATACATCTTTTATTAATATTTGGTTACTAGCCGACCATAGGACATAGTTCAAAAGATTCAAAAACATGGGAAACTCATAAAAATATGAAAAAAAACTTTATGCAATAGTATGACGAAATAGTTATTTATGTAACAAGTGCCCAAAAGGCGTTTTTGGGCAGGAGTGTGAGGAAAAAGACACGAGTGCCGGCTATGCCGGCACGAGTGGGTGTTTTTTGCACACACTGTGCGCAAAAAGCTGGGCACATGTTGCATACAAAATTTTATGCAATAGTAGGCGAAAAATACGTTCATTTAAATGAGGCGTTTTACCGCACACCCGTGTCCAAAATGGGACATTTTACCGCATATAGGTGTCCAGAAACGCTTTTTGCGCACTAAAAAATGTGCGAAAAAAGACATTTTTCGTCATACTATTGCATAAAATGTCTTTTTTCGCACATTTTTTAGTGCGCAAAAAGCCTTTTTGGACACCTGTGTGCGGTAAAATGCCCCATTTTGGACACGGCATAGCCGGCACTCGTGTCTTTTTCCGCACACTCGTGCCCAAAAACGCCTTTTGGGCCCTTGTTACATAAATAACTATTATTTGTTCGTCTTTCAATTGCTATCAATTTGTGTTTTTTGGTCTACCTAAGACAAAGTTTTAGAGGATGTTATAAGTTAGTCTTCGAAAAAAATATTGCAATTTTGGCCAATTCGAAGATGAAAACAATTTTATTTTTAAATTTTTACGTTACATTTTCACATTAAAGGGATTTTGAGATAATGAATATGATCTTTCAACAAATTTGAATTTTTTTTAAATTTTGTGTAGATAATCATAATTCAAAAAATTTATCATAATGATAAATAAAACTACACCTTCAGCTACTGTAAATCTATGGGGGATGGAGAGGCTAACAGTTTTAGAATTATTATCTTACAATATACCCTTTAAGAGTACATGCATTATTTAAATTTCTGTAATTAACTATAACCCTAACTAATGTTTAGCCCATTTACATAGATATATATCGGTCAAAATAATATTTTTTTATAAAACCATGCGCACACGACATCACCGATTTGGTTGCGCTTTTGGTGCATTATAGTATATAATATAATTGAAATTGAATAAAAAATTTTCGATTTAAAAGTGCCTAGGAGTCCTAAAGCTTCAAATGTCTTTAGAATCGTTATCAATAGAAACAAAAAATACGTACGTCCATACGGAATGTGGAGAGTTCGAGCTACCTAGAGGTATAGAATCTCGGTTCAGATGTACTATAACACGTATTGAAAATACGTCCAAATCGGTGACAAGTGTGCGCACAATTTAGAAAAAAGTATTATTCAGACCGATATGGATCTATTCATATGTATCTATGTATAATAATGTACAAGTAACAACGTAGTAGTTAAGACTGTCAGCTAAAATTGTATACTGCGTCCACTTA